AAAGTCAGTAGTGTTTTTTACACATACAGTTTTAATCTCTCTGTTTTGTTTAACCGGTTTAGTTCGGTTCAGGTGAAGTATGAAGAGGCAAGCCAAGTTGCAAACGAGGCGGTGAGCAGCATAAGGACGGTTGCATCTTTCTGCGCAGAGAGAAAAGTGATGAACTTATACGAAAAGAAATGCGAAGGAGCAAAGAAACAAGGTGTCCGGTTAGGACTCGTGAGCGGTTTGGGTTACGGTTTCTCATTCTTTGCACTCTATTGCATCAATGCGTTATGTTTCTATGTCGGTTCGTATATGATTCAGCATGGGGAAGCCACATTTAAGGAATTCTTCAATGTAAGAGACCCAAAATATCCGGTTTGGTTTTGGTTTTGTTTGCTTGGTTTATGATTCTTGAGTGGTTTATTCTTTATATTTCAGGTTTTCTTTGCACTAACGATCACAGCAGTAGGAGTAGCTCAAACGAGTGCAATGGCTCCTGACACAACCAAAGCCAGAGACTCTGCTTCTTCAATCTTTGATATTCTTGATAGTAAACCGAATATCGATTCGAGTTGCGATGAAGGGACAACGTTAGCAAACGTGAACGGCGATATCGAGTTTCAACACGTCAGTTTCCGGTATCCGACGCGGCCAGACATTCAGATTTTTCGTGACTTGTGCTTGAGTATCCCCTCCGGCAAGGTAGGTCAAACGAAAGAGAAAAAACAGTGTCTTTCCCGGTTTAGTCATAACCAAACGGTTTACGAGTTTGATTTGGTTTTTGTAGACCGTTGCATTGGTGGGAGAGAGTGGAAGTGGGAAATCGACTGTGGTAAGTATGATTTTGAGATTCTATGATCCGGATTTAGGCAAGATACTTCTTGATCAAGTGGAGATTCAAACGTTCAAATTGAGCTGGTTAAGACAACAAATGGGTTTGGTTAGCCAAGAACCAATTCTATTCAACGAGACAATTAGATCAAACATCGTCTATGGCAAAACCGGAGGATACACTGAGGAAGACATCATAACCGCAGCAAAAGCGGCCAATGCGCATAACTTTATCAACTCATTACCTGAAGGTTACGAAACGTCTGTAGGTGAACGCGGAGTTCAGCTTTCAGGTGGTCAAAAGCAGCGAATCGCGATCGCTCGTGCTATTCTTAAAGATCCTAAGATTCTTTTGCTTGACGAGGCGACCAGTGCGCTAGACGCGGAGTCTGAGCGGGTGGTGCAAGACGCGCTTGAGCGGGTGATGGTGAACCGGACTACGGTGGTTGTGGCTCACCGGCTCAGTACGATCAAGAACGCAGACGTGATCGCGGTTGTTAAAAACGGTGTGATCGCGGAGAAAGGAAGACACGAGAGGCTAATGAAGATTTCAGGTGGTGCCTACTCTTCGCTTGTCGCGCTTCACACATGAGTTCCAACTAAGACCAGCAAGCTGATCAGCTACATGTGATCTAGCAATTTTTGCATTTGATTTTAATAAATTATGAGAGTTTCTTTTTTTTTGACCAAAATTTTTCAATAAATGAGAATTTGTCTGTTGGCATATTGAAACTAAAAAAATCAACTCAAAATATAGATAGATCAGAAAATACAAATTGTTAGTGGAAGTATTGATTAAGTGCAAGTGTTATTCATATATAGGGTATGCAAGACAACATATGGTTTATGGATACAAAACACTGGTTTTTACTTGTGAAAAAAAAAATATATCCTCTTCGAAAGTATAATAATCAATTAACTATACAAAATATGTGGATAAGCCATGATTGTTTAATGGGAAATTGCACTAGATGGCTAAAGACAGGTAGTGAATTAGGGAATTGACTATTGTTTTTTATCACTCGAGCATTAAATTAATTTGCCACTCCTTTTGTCCACGATATTCTCATGCGCTATCATCTTTCTTAGACCCCCACAATTCCAGTCATGATATGAAATATTATGTATAATGGACCTACAAACAAATAAAATATTATGTTACTCAGATAAACTTAAAAAGCCACAACTCTGTCTTTGTGTGGCGAATAAAACCACATATTTAATATCCCACCCTCTTTCTTTGGTGGAACCATAAAGACAGTTCGTCTTCTTTGAAAATCAAACACCTGAAAAACCCACCATATTGCTTTCATGAAATCTTATAGCTCCACACCGCCGTCTTCAGATTTTATTCACCTGATAAACCCAAAGCAAACCAGAGACAGGGGAATTAACCAGATACATAGGAAGAATAGCTGTTCGTCGGTGAAATATAGCGACTCACCCCCCGAGAGTTGAATATCCAAGTAACATCCATCTGTCGGTTGTATATTTCTGTTCCAACTTTTTTTTACTACTAAGTTCCGAATTTTTGCTGTTATCTTATCCGATTGTGGGAATATATTCCTGTTGTCTCATTCAATTATGGGAAGTGATTTCCACCTTTGTCGGGTTTCCAGTCTTTGATTTTTCCAGAAACATTGCATAAGTGACGAAATCTTAGGTCTCGAAATCAGATCTTCAACAATTATAACAAAATCTCAAACTCAGAAACCAGATCTCCACATGCATATATGCACATCCGATTCGATTAATAGTCATCCATTTCACTAGTTAAACTTTAATGGTTAGTAGAATTAGTTGCATATTCAAGTCAAGGCAAAGAGATCACATTCATATATGTACATCCTCAGTGATATATAGTCATCAATCATTTCATTTAGGTATCTGCGTAGCCCCGTATCCTACATTATAGATCTCCAACAATATAATCGGATTCATGATTACGTGGATATCTAAATGTCAATATGCGGCCTTATAAATCAGCATGCGGGTTATTTTTGTAGGTGGTTGTGACTTCAATAATCGAAGGCAAATTTGATGGAACCCCCCAAGTGCCTTCGCATGGCCTGTTGAAGTAGACGACCCCAAGGTGGATCACTTGGAGATGCTTACTGCAGAGGGTGCATGATTTTGTAGAGATATGTTTGTTGGGGGTCAGAAAGGTGGTGCTCCACCGACACAACCTGCAGTTATACAAAGTCAGAAACATGAAGGGAAATGTACGGGGAAAAAAGTTCGGCGGGGCTTAAGAAAGTCAAGGAAGGTAGGAAATCAACAAAGGCTCGGCAGAACGATGAAAGTGTGCCTAACACGATGGAGATGATATCAGCTATCTTAACCTTGCAGTCTCGTTTGTTCCTGAACACCCAGCCCAAATATGACTCATCTCCCTCATATACCACATCCAATATGACATTCTCTGTTTGATCCAATCATGTGAAAACCCGTTTGTCAAATATATTAGACGTCTATAACTTATTGTACACGTTTATTTAGTATTCTTTTAACAACCATTTATATATCTGTCCATTATAAGTAATGACACCCCACCAATATTAACAGACAATTATATAAGCTCGTAGATTAACATATATTATAGATGCATGAGCAAGATAAACATCTATGAAAAAAAATAACACACTATAATATAAATTACCAGTACATGATTCGTTGTGCACATATAACAAACTAAGAAATAACATAACCACTTTAAAATGATATATCACTCCACTAATGTTAATAGACATCTACGATACACTTATATCATCACATATCCCCATCATTTCAAATAACCCGTTACAATTCCATCACCGTCCATCCACTTCGACATCTCGTACGTAAGCTCGATATTCTCCTCATCCATGTCGATGTTTAGCTCTCTACATACTGTCGCCTTGACTGAAGCTATTCCCTGGTCCTCCCACAATTTTATAACTTTGCTAAGCCTATCCTCCAGTAACACAAACCGTCAAACCCCACCGGCATCTTTCATCCACCACCCTTGCTCTGCCCGCACCAGATCACTGAGGACCTCCCACAGTTGTACCATTGTTGATAATCTCTAACAATATCAAATTCATAACGATGCCGTTATTAATAAGAGAGATGCTTCAAGTTACAACATAGATATTCATACACAGTATGAAAGAATTCAGAATAATTTACCTGATTATTCAGCTTGTAGCGCTCTATGGAAATAGAAGCAGGAACTAGTATTTATGGATAGTCCATAAACCTAGGTGTGCCCATATATTTTAGTTTCCCGCTCCGCTCATCGATAATTTTGTTGCAGCATTACATATGACATTAATTCGCCATCACCTCTGTCTATATCATGCTTACGTAAGACGGCGGCGAATATATCATGTCTCCTCATTTACTACGAAGCTCAAAGTCAACTTAAACTCATACCATAGATGTCCACATATTCGCCATCACCCACTTAATACTCGTCATCACCTACTTCATTATTCCACTCATCCACGCGCACACAATGGCATCAAATGTAAATAATCAAATCCACAAATCACTGTTCGTTATCTTTTAGCTAATTCTTTCTAGGTTATTTGGCTTTTACTATTTTCCTAATTTAATCTCAACACTTAGCTTTCTACCAAATGATCCCTTTAATTTACTTGTTGAACATGCTTTACTTTTTGCTTACATGGCTAAGTTAATATATTATTCTTATCGATGATTTTAAATTAATAAAATTACAAACGTGACTTAAACACGTGCCGTCGGAAAAAAGTGAGCTGCCACCGCAAGATCAGAAGATCGGCGACTCTTAATCTCCTCCACCGCAAGAATTTCAAATCCATGGCCTCAATGGAAAGTGATACACCCGGAGAACGAGGTTAAGCACTTTTCTGGGCCAATCTCAAAGGCGAAAGCTTTTCCCGATCCCTCGGTGGATTCTTGGTGGGTCTCGGAGGAATTAGATGTAGAATAATGTGAAGAGAGAGATAGAAGAGAGAAGATTTTGAATTCGGCTGAGGAAGCTAATTCCCCAGTAAAAACCAAATTCAGTATCAAGCTTTGTGACATAGCTGAGGTAAAGTAAAACACAATTTCTCATTTTTTAAACAAAGGGAATAGTAATTCTCTGTTTACGCATTATATAATTTGGGTTGCAATTGTATATGTAAGAAGACAATTTTGGGTTTAGATAAGAGTTATACATGTTGTTTGTGAATTGGGGAGACTCATTGTGATTTTAACGGTTTGTCTTTGTAGATACTTGACCAATTGAGGTTTTAGAGAAAGTGAGACCTGTTCAACATATTGCAGAAAATAAAACTAGTAAGTTGTTTGATTTTCAAGTCTATGTTATGCATCAAATCCAGGTTTTGATATTGGAATAATGGCTTTTCACTTTGCAGCAAGTTCCTGAGAACAGATTTAAGGGCTGTTGCAGCTTAATTTATGGTTATTAGTGTTACAATCGTGTTTCCCATGTGAGTTTAGGCTGATGGTTTGGATTGTGAGTCTTGCAAGTGTTTTTGATATTTTTTAATTGCTTCTCAATGAATCCAAGTTTATGTTAATCGTAATTAGATTCTGTGCATAGGTTTTTTTAAAACTTTAAAAGTTGCTGTTTCCTCTCAGTTATGGCACATATCCTTCAATCTTTAAACTTTTAGATTCTGCTTCTGTTTCCTGCCTAAGTCCTAACATAGATTTATTTATGTTTTTAAATTTATGTTTTTTTTTTCCAATAAGGCAATAGTTAACTACTAAATTAGGAAACCAAATTTCTTTTACCGCCATAAAAAAAGAGAAAACCAAATTAATGTAATAGTCCCACATCGCTTAGGAAAAACGAGGGAAGTCGGCGATATCCCTTATAAATACATATACTTTTTCTTTACTTTTAATCAAAATTTGGACTTATTTAGAAAGTCAAGATTAAGCGATTTAAGTTTTTCTTTTTCACCAGGGACTCGATCTTCTGTCCCGAAGATGGCTACGTTATCTCCCTCCGGAGCTAATCTCGATCCTCCGTCGAGGCTAACACCGGAGGAACAAGATGCGAAACTGGAGAAGAAGGCCAGAATCTGGATGCAATTGAATTCGAAACGGTACGCCGAGAAGAAAATTAGGGTTCGTGGAAACTCAGAAAGAAGACATGCCACCAGAACATCTCAGGAAGGTTATCAAAGAACATGGTGATATGTCAACAAAGAGACACCGTCACGAAAAAAGAGTATCTTGGAGCTCTAAAATTCGTCCCTCATGCTATTTTCAAGCTCTTGGAGAATATGCCTATGCCATGGGAGCAAGTCAGGGACGTCAAGGTCTTGTATCACATCACAGGAGCGATCATGTTCGTGAACGAGATTCCTCTGGTTGTTGAACCTATCTACATGGTTCAGTGGGGTACAATGTGGATTATGATGCGAAGGGAGAAGAGAGATCGTAAACACTTTAAGAGGATGCGGTTTCCTCCCTTTGATGACGAGGAGCCGCCTCTTGATTATGCGGATAACTTGATGGATGTTGATCCTTTAGAGCCGATTCAGCTTGAGCTTGATGAGGAAGAGGATGCTTCTGTGTGCAGGTGGTTTTACGATCACAAGCCGCTTGTGCAGACGAGTATGATCAATGGTCCTAGTTACAGGAGGTGGAACCTCTCGCTTCCGGTTAAGTCGACGCTTCACAGGCTTGCAGGTCAGTTACTTTCTGATTTGGTTGATCGGAACTACTTCTATATGTTTGACACGCCGTCGTTTTTGACCGCTAAGGCGTTGAACATGTGTATTCCTGGTGGTCCAAAGTATGAGCCTTTGTATCGTGATGTGGAGAAGGAGTGGAACGAGTTCAACGACATCAACAAGGTTATCGTTAGGTCGAGGCTGCGAACTGAAGGAAGAGTAGCTTTCCCTTACTTGTACAACAACAGACCTAGGAAAGTGAAGCTCTCTTCGTATCACACTCCTATGGTTATGCACATTAAAACAGAGGATCCTGATCTCCCTGCGTTTTATTATGATCCTTTGATTAACCCAATAAGTAACGGATTTCGTGACAGGAAGGTTTATGTTGATGATGATGAAGATGGCTTTGCTTTACCAGAAGGAGTGGAACCGTTGCTACAAGAAACTCAGCTTTACACTGACACAACAAGCGCTGGGATTTCGTTACTGTTTGCTCCGAGACCGTACAATATGAGGTCAGGGAAGACGCGGCGAGCTGAAGATGTACCGCTTGTGTCGGAGTGGTTCAAGGAGCATTGTCCTCCAACGTATCCGGTTAAAGTTCTGGTTAGTTACCAGAAGTTATTGAAATGTTATGTTATGAATGAGCTACACCGTAAACCACCTAAGTCTCAGAAGAAGAAGCACTTGTTCAGGTCTCTTGCAGGTACAAAGTTTTTCCAGAGCACCGAGCTCGACTGGGTCGAAGCTGGTCTGCAAGTCTGCAGGCAAGGGCATAACATGTTGAACCTGTTAATTCACAGTGTGGAGGTTAGTTTGAATCCTAAGCTCTGTTTTTCTTTGATTTGTTACAGTCCGTCGATGAGATTATTCTGAAGCTGAGTTAAGCAAGGTTGAAGACTTGGTCTCGTGAAGAAGGTTTCGATGGAAGGAGAAAAACATGGAAGACTCAAGATGAGACAGAGGGTTCTAAAGATAAAGTTATTATCTTCACAAAACACGTGATTTCTCTTTCTCTCTGCAACGGCAATAGAGTCGTACTCTGTATTGATGTACCAAGAGGAGACAAAAAAGGCAGGCCTGCAACTAACCGTTTTCTCTTGGGATCAATAAGACAAAAAGAACAAAAGTAACTAGAGGTTAACTCAAACGTAGAGTTAGGTTTTGCCTTGGTTACCTTATTATTCTTTGAGAGTATAAAAGACATAAGATATGTCTGAATATGTAAGCTTGTGTATGTGAGAAACAGAGCAGAGAGAGAAGTGTAAAAAATTAAGAGCTCAGTTTGAGCTAAGTTCTTAATGGATTTTCCGGAGACCTTCTCCGGCGAGATGTAGGATCCCTCCCAAGGGTCCGAACTCGTTAATTCTCTGTGTCTTTACGTTCCAAGCTCTTTACTTTAAGTCTTCTCAAACAAACAAACAACAACTCTGTTTCTTGCTCAAGTTTTTTACACACAAGTGTTAATAGTGAGAGAGAGTGTGTTTAGACTGAAGAAAGATCGCTACTTTATCATGTCTAAACTCAATAAAGTGGTATCAGAGCTTCAGGTTGTGAAGCAAGTCTCTCAAGAACACATATCCGCATCTTCTCCTCTTATTTCCGTCATGGAAAGGTACGAAGGCAGAGGAGACTACAAAGTGTGGAAAGAAAAGCTTTTTTCTCAACTAGAGAACATGAGTCTCATGGATGCTCTAAAGGAGAAAGAAAAAGGAGTGAAGAAAGGTGTTGTAACAGAAGCAGCAGAGGCCGTGTCTTCAAGCTCAAGAGGAACAAAGGAAGAACACAAGAGAGACCTCTCACTGGCAGAAAAGGAGAAGAAGGCCAGATCTGTTATCATACTAAGTGTCGGAGATCTCATCCTAAGGAAAGTGGTGAAAGAAAAGACAGCAGCAGGTATGATACAAGTTCTGGATAATCTCTACTTGCCTAAATCACCATCAAGACGTTTATACCTCAAGAAGAAACTTTATAGGTTTAAGATGGATGAAAAGAAGCCTATGGAAGAGAGTATAAACGAATTTCTAGAAATGGTTTCAGAACTAGACAAGATAGAAGCTTGTGTATCTGAAGAAGATGAAGCAGTTTTACTGCTTTTGTCCCTCCCAAGTAGATTTGGTGATCTCAGGGATACTCTGGAGTATTGTGAAGGGTCTCTAAGCATAGAGAGGGTGATGAATGCAATATGGGTAAAAGAGTTTGAGTTCAGTCAGATTGGAGAACAAACAAGAGGAGAAAGGCGTTTGTCCAATAGGGAGAGAGGAAGATCAGATTACAGAGAAAGAGGAGCTAAGGGAAAAGAAATAGCAAAATCAAAGTCATCAAAAGAGAAAATCACTTGCTGTATATGTAGTGAAGAAGGTCATCTCAAGGAACAATGCTCAAAAGGAAACAAGAAGGAGGAGCATTATGTTGGTAGAAAGGAATCTGCGACAAGTAAGGGAGGTGACAAGGATGACATTTTGCTCTTGGTCTCAGAAGCAAGCTTCAAGACAAATGAAGACAAGAATGAAAGATGGATTCTTGATTCAGGCTGTACAGTTCATATGACGCCAAGAAGAGAGCTGTTTGAAACGTTTTCAGACAGAGAAGGAGGAAGTGTGAGAATGGGAAATGATACACTTTCTCAGGTTAAGGGAGTTGGAACTGTCAAGATAAAGAGTGAAGATGGCACAAGTTTTCTTCTGCAGAATGTTAGATATGTTCCTGACATATCAGAAAATCTCATTTCGCTTGGGATTTTGGAGGAAGAAGGGTGCTGGTTCAAGTCAAGAGATGGCACATTAAAAGTTATAAGAAGCTGCAGAACAATGCTTAAAGCTAAGAGAAAAGAAAGCATGTATTTGCTGCTGGGAAAAGCCATCGGTGCTGAAACAGATGCAGTAAAGAAGCATCAGGTTGAGACAAGAAGTTGTCACAAGAAGATAGGTCATCTAAGTCAAGAAAAGACGTTTTGAAGCTGACAAGATCAAAGGGTTAGAGTTTTGTGAAGACTACAAACTGGAAAGTGTTCAAGATAACAGTTTTGATTCAACTAAACCTGCAACCACACAGAAACTTGAATGCATACACACAGATATATGGGGTTCTTCATCAACAGCAAAATCACTGGGAAGCAACCAATACTTCATAAGCTTTATGGATGAATACACAAGAAAGGTGTGGATTTATTTTATGAAGAAACAAGATGAAGCTTTTGGTAAAGTCAAAGAGTGGAAGAAGTTGGTGAAAAATCAAAGTGGAAAGAAGATCAAGGAACTAAGGACAGGAAGTGGTTTTGAGTGTTGCAATAAAGAGCTTGATAGATTCTGCAAATTAGAAGAGATTTCAAGGCACAAAACGTGTGCATCAACACAAGATCAAAATAGTGTTGCAGAGAAATTAAACAGAACTATCATGAGAAGGGTGAGAAGCATGTTGGATGAATCAGGCTTGTCTGAAGTTTTCTGGGCTGAAGCTGCTGCAACTGCAGTGTTTCTTGATCAACAGATCACCATCATCAGCTGCAGAGTTTGGTATTCCTGAAGAAAGGTGGACAGGTTCAATACCAGATTACAAGAATCTTAAGAGATTTGGCTGTGTAGCACACATACACTCAAATCAAGGGAAAGAAAATCCAAGAATGAAAAAGGGTATAATCATTGGATATTCTGATGAATATAGAGGTTACAGAATCTGGTTATTGGATGAGGAAAAATGTGTCACAGGCAGGGATGTTGCAGAAGACAAGAAGTATAAGGAGTTGAACTTGAAGAAGCAAAGCTCAAATCAGATTGCAGATGAAGATCAAAGAAGTAATTCACATCTCTTAAGTGATTCAGTTTCGATAGATCTTTAGTTCAAGGTGAAGCTTATCAAGAGAAGAACAGCTTCACAAGGCAAGGGAAAAGCGTTTCAAAGCTATTATTGCAGAATGAAGATTCAGAAACAGAAGAGAGTGAAACAAAGAAGACTGAGATGAAACTGCAGGGTAATAAGTTGCTAAAGGATCATGTCTCAGAAGAGGTTAAGCCAAACAGAAAAGAAGAAAGGTCAAGCTCAGTTTGGGCAGTTCGTTTTAGAGCTGAAGGTGGAGAAATTCCAGAGCCAACTAGTTTTGAAGAAGAGAAGAAAGGTCCAAACTGGAAATTTGTTAATTTTGCAGGAAATGGAAATTTTCAGTAGGTGCATCAGTTTGAAACGTGGGAGAAACTCATGAATCAAGATTCAATGGGATGCAAGGGGATCTGCAACAGGAAACCTCATGTTTCAGGTACTGGAAAACCAAGTTTCAGAGTTAAGTTGCTGGTCAAAGGTCACTCCCAAGAAGAAGAGATTGACTGTTACGAAAGTTTCAGTTATATGGTGGAACAAAGATTAATCAACATTTCGATGTCTGATGTTGTTCACCATTTCTGGAATATAAAGAAGTTGGAGTTAAAAGCAAGTCTTGCACAGGGAAGATTAAAGGAGAATATTCCGGTGCTTAAAGGAGAAGAACATGAAGAGAAATCAAGTAAAGAGAAAGTTTGTCTCTTTAAAGAAATTGTTCAAGAGTTAAAGCAGCCATTGTGGTCATGGAATCTGAAGGTTTACACATTCATGATTCAAGCTGTTCTTATGAGAAGCAAGTTTGATAAGTATGTATGCTTCAAAGAAACAAGGATGGAGATGCATCAAGGCAGAAAAGAAGATGATTTCAGGCTGTCTCAGAGAGGATATATGATCATTGCAGAGGGGATATTCAGAAGAGATCAAGGTAAGGTTGCTTTTACTCCATTGGTGGTACAATTAGAACTTAGAGAAGCTACAGAAGAAGAGCTAAGAGATCATACTGCAGAAATGAAGTCTGTGTCACACTCAAGAGTTGTTGACAGAGAGAAGTGTGTCAGGATTGGCACAAGAGCGGATCTTGTTGGTTCAGTGAGGGTGACAAGTCGTTCTGGAAAAGAACAAGGGAAATCAGTGAAATGGTTGAAGAGGAACTTCAAGGATTCAGTAGAATCAAGTCTGGTTTTCAAGAAAAAAGAAAAAACTGGGTTGAGTGGAGTTTTCAATTCAGGGATTGCTGCAGGCTCTTATGAAAGAAATGTTGCTCAGAGGTTTGTGTTTACAGTTTCAAGAAGCACAATAAGCTGGACAGTTGGTCTGCAGAAGTTAGTTGTATCAGATACAACAAAGTTTGAAGACATGGCTCTAAAGAAAGCCATGGAAGTGACAGTTTTGTCAAGAAATTTTTTGAATGAAGAGGGTCTGATTCAAGACTCAAGCTAAGTGTTTTGTGACTATCACAATGTCACAACACAATCAAGTATCTATGTGTTTCAGGAGAAGTCTGAAAGGATCGCAGAAGGGCTGATGAAAGTTATCAAGTTTGGTACTTTAATTTTTTCAGTCGACATCATCACGAAAGGGTTGTCCGTGAGTAATCTTCAAAATATGAAGGAGAAGATGCTCAGCTTTACCAAGCACTGAGAGAGGTCAGTTACCGGAGAAGGGAAAATCTAAGGATAATAAGAAAAGAATCAAGTTGGGGTTGTATTCAAACCAAGGTGGAGTTTTGTGGAGGTTAGTTTGAATCCTAAGCTCTGTTTTTCTCTGATTTGTTACAGTCCGTCAATGAGATTATTCTGAAGCTGAGTTAAGCAAGGTTGAAGACTTGGTCTCGTGAAGAAGGTTTCGATGGAAGGAGAAAAACATGGAAGACTCAAGATGAGACAGAGGGTTCTAAAGATAAAGTTATTATCTTCACAAAACACGTGATTTCTCTTTCTCTCTGTAACGGCAACAGAGTCGTACTCTGTATTGATGCACCAAGAGGAGACAAAGAAGGCAGGCCTGCAACTAACCGTTTTCTCTTGGGATCAATAAGACAAAAAGAACAAAAGTAACTAGAGGTTAACTCAAACGTAGAGTTAGGTTTTGCCTTGGTTACCTTATTATTCTTTGAGAGTATAAAAGACATAAGATATGTCTGAATATGTAAGCTTGTGTATGTGAGAAACAGAGCAGAAAGAGAAGTGTAAAAGATTAAGCTCGGTTTGAGCTAAGTTCTTAGTGGATTTTCGGAGACCTTCTCCGGCGAGATGTAGGATCCCTTCCAAGGGTCCAAACTCGTTAATTCTCTGTGTCTTTACGTTTCAAGCTCTTTACTTTAAGTTTCTCAAACAAACAAACAACAACTCTGTTTCTTGCTCAAGTTTCTTACACACAAGTGTTAATAGTGAGAGAGAGTGTATTTAGACTGAAGAAAGATCGCTACTTTATCATGTCTAAACTCAACACACAGGAAAGGTTTGAATTACCTTCATCTTGATTACAACTTCAACCTCAAACCAATCAAGACTTTGACGACTAAAGAGAAGAAGAAGTCGGGTTTCGGTAACGCTTTCCATCTCTGCCGTGAGATTCTCCGGCTGACGAAGCTTGTTGTCGATGCGAATGTGCAGTTTCGTCTCGGGAACGTCGACGCCTTTCAGCTAGCTGATGGTTTGCAGTATATATTCTCTCATGTTGGACAGTTGACAGGTATGTATCGGTATAAGTACAGGCTTATGAGGCAAGTTAGGATGTGTAAGGACTTGAAGCACTTGATATATTACCGTTTCAATACCGGTCCTGTCGGTGAAGGACCAGGTTGTGGATTCTGGGCTCCGATGTGGAGAGTTTGGTTGTTTTTCCTCCGTGGGATAGTTCCTCTACTAGAACGATGGTTAGGGAACCTTCTTGGGCGTCAGTTTGAAGGGCGTCATTCGAAAGGAGTTGCGAAAACGGTCACGAAGCAGAGAGTTGGAGCTACGAGCTGCTGTGATGCATGACGTCGTTGATTCAATGCCGGAGGGTATGAAGCAGAAGAAAGTGAAAGTAATAGGGCAGCATCTTAGCGAGGCGTGGCGGTGTTGGAAAGCGAATATACCGTGGAAGGTCCCTGGTCTGCCTGTGCCGGTTGAGAATATGATACTCAGGTATGTCAAGCATAAGGCTGATTGGTGGACTAACGTGGCTCACTATAACCGTGAGCGTATCAGGAGAGGAGCTACAGTTGATAAGACGGTTTGTAGGAAGAATCTTGGGAGGGTGACACGTCTCTGGTTAAAGGCGGAGCAAGAACGGCAACACAATTACTTGAAAGACGGTGCGCCTCTCACTTCCGAGGAAGCGGTTGCGACTTATAGCACTACGTGTTCGTGGCTTGAAGCGAGGAAGTATTCGCCGATTCCGTTCCCTCCTGTGTCGTACAAGCACGAGACGAAGCTTCTTATACTCGCTCTAGAGAGGTTGAAAGAATCGTACGGTGGAGATGTGAGGTTGAATCAGCAGCAGAGAGAAGAGCTTGGGTTGATTGAACAGGCTTATGACAACCCTCACGAGACTCTAGCGAGGATCAGACGTCATCTTTTGACGCAACGTAAGTTCAAAGACGTTGGGATTCAGTTTATGGATCTGTACAGCTGTTTGATTCCGGTTTACGAAGTGGATCCTCTAGAGAAGATTACTGATGCGTTTCTTGATCAGTATTTGTGGTACGAAGCTGATAAGCGTCACTTGTTTCCGAGCTGGATTAAGCCGGCAGACTCTGAGCCACCGCCGCTTCTGGTTTACAAATGGTGTCAGGGTATCAATAACTTGCAAGGAATATGGGACACGGGTGATGGTGAGTGCGTGGTGATGCTACAGACAAAGCTTGAGAAGTTGTTTGAGAAGATTGATGTCACGTTATTGAACAAGCTTCTTCGTTTGATAGTTGACCACAATATTGCAGACTATATTACATCCAAGAACAATGTGGTTTTGTCTTACAAAGATATGAGTCATACAAACTCGTATGGTCTCATCAGGGGACTTCAGTTTATTGAAGTTAAACTTGATTTTGGGTTAAGCTTAATTTTGGGTTTATAAAATAATTATTAGTTATTAGATTAGGCCCAAAATTAAGCTCAAGTTCTAGAATCTCTAGAAACATCACTAAAAATCATCATCTTTCTTAAATGTTCTAGAGAATTCTATTAGTTAAATATCTAGATAATTCTATAGATAATTCTAGATGTTGTAGTTAAAATTCTAGATATTATTGTAGAAAATTCTAGAGATTAGGAGAATGTTTGTAAGATATTTTGTAATAAGTGGAGCCTATAAATAGCCCACTACTCCATCATTTGTAAACAAGAGAAGTTGAACAAATAAAGAAAGAGTGTTCTTCATAAGTTCTCTTATTCTCTCTAAAGTTCCTTCAAGTTTTCTCTAAGTATTCTTTCATCTTATTATTCATACTTAGAGGGTCTTTGTTTCTTTCGGATCTCTCGGGTATTACGGTCTTGGGCTAGTGCTTGGCACTATCGGTGTTTTCTTTACATGGTATCAGAGCCATTCTGATCTGGTTCTTTTTCAAGATCGGATTAATTGAGATCTCAGATTTACTCTAAGTATGGAGTCAATGGGTCGCGTTGTTGGGTTGGGAATGAAGATTCTAAACCAATCCAATTACCGGTTATGGAAGTCATGCATGGAGTCATATTTGGTGAGTGAGGACTTATGGGATGTCGTCGGCGGCAGTAGCACAACACCACCAAGGGGAGCTGCTGCGACAGCGGAAGCGACAAAGGAGTGGACACGGAAGAATGCCAAGGCGGAGTTTGCATTGAAGAGGTCAATATCCTCGGGAGTCTTTGAGCATGTCTCAAGTTGCACATCCGCTAGTTCCATTTGGCAGGCGTTAGATCAGTTGTTCAACAAGAAGAATGAAGCTCGGCTACAACTGTTAGAGAACGAGTTGGCGAATGCAAAGCAGGGGGAGTCTTCAATCTCAGAGTTTTTCATCAAGGTAAAGAATCTTCGCTCAGAGATTAATACTCTAAATCCGGAGGAGTCAATTTCCGAAGCACGTTTAAAACGGTATATTATTCGAGGTCTACGACCTGAGTATACACCGTTTGTGACTTCGGTTCAAGGATGGGCTACACAACCTTCCTTGGAGGAGTTCGAGAACCTGCTAGCTTCGCAAGAGTCATTAGCTACGCAAATGGCAGGAGTCAAAATCCATGATGACTCGGGGAGCGCCTTTGTAGCTCGGAAGCAACACAACTTCAAAGCCAAATCCAAATACGATGGTGCAAAGAACATCGATGGACCGGAAGGATCTTCTACTGGAGATAAGAAGCGATTCAAGTGCTACCGGTGTGGAAAGCTTGGGCACTTCAAAAAGGATTGTCGAGTCAAGCTGAAGGAGACAAATATGGCAGAATCAAAAGGTCATATTGAAGACGAAGAATGGGGGAAATGCTTCACGGTGGAGGCTGCATCTTCAGGTATATCCACAACTAAAAATCTTGAAAATGATTGGATTGTGGATTCGGGTTGTAGCCACCATATTACCGGAGACGAGAAGCTATTTTCTAGTCTTCAGAGCCATGATGGAAAAGAAGCCATAATTACCACGGATAATTCAGTTCACCGGGTCGAGAAGGAAGGGACTGTTGTCATTGAAGGAGAAGATGGAAGCCCTATCACCCTCAAGAATGTATACCATGTCCCTGGAGTAAGGAAGAATCTTCTCTCTGTGGTGAATGCAGTAGACTCAGGTAACTACGTTTTATTTGGCCCAAGAGACGTCAAATTCTTGAAGAATATTAAAGAGTTAAAGGCGGATGTGGTTCACACCGGATCGCGGGTTAAGGATCTATATGTCTTATCTGCGTCCAACTCATACGTGGAGAAGATGAGTACAAACGACAATGCCTCTATATGGCATGCTCGGCTTGGTCATATAAACATGACTAAGCTAAAGGTTATGGTGAATAAGGAGTTGGTAAATGGGCTTCCGAAGCTGAAGATCCAAGATGAAGGAAAGCTTTGTGAAGGTTGTCAATATGGAAAATCACATAGACTTCCATTTGACAATTCTACTTCACGGTGCAGTGCTCTGTTGGAGAGGATCCATAGTGATTTGATGGGTCCTACAAGAACACCCTCATATTCCGGGTTTCGGTACATGTTGCTGTTCATTGATGACTTCTCACGGCACACTTGGGTATACTTTGTGAAGGAAAAATCAGAAGTATTCTCCAAATTTCAAGAATTCAAGGTTACCGTAGAAGGGGAGCTGGGTCGGAGAATCAAGACCTTAAGGACAGATAATGGAGGGGAGTTCATGTCCAAGGAGTTTCTCTCTTTTTGTCAAAAGCATGGAATAAAGAGAGAGTTTACTTGTCCGTATACACCTCAACAAAATGGAGTAGCGGAAAGGAAGATTCGACATCTAACTGAGACGTGCAGAAGCTGGCTATATGGGAAGGATCTGCCTAAAGCCTTGTGGGCGGAAGGCATGAGATGCGCAGTGTACGTCATAAATCGGATGCCACTCAGCCCAAATAACATGAAGTCTCCGTATGAGATGATTCATGGGAAGAAGCCGTCAGTGAAACATCTCAGGATATTTGGATCAGTCTGCTACGTCCATGTGTTTGATTCTCAAAGAACCAAGTTGGAGGCAAAGGCGAAGAAGTGCATCTTCGTTGGCTATGACGAACAAAGAAAAGGGTGGAGGTGTATGGATCCAGAGACACACAGGTACGTAGTGTCTCGAGATGTTGTTTTTGATGAAGTTTCCTCATTCTATGGGCCACCTCAAGTTTTAGTTGAGCAAGAAGGTGGGAGTTCCTCCAAGAGTGATAAACCAGCTCTGAGTAAGGAAAAAGGTCCTGAAGAAGAGATGCAAGGTGAAAGGGGGAGCACTGATCAAGAGGAGGATGAGGAGGAACATCATGGTTCCACGGCTAGTCAAAGGCCTAAAAGGGACATCATTAAACCTGCTCGGTTCAGAGATCCAAAGTTTGTTACTACCTTCTCGTGCTACTTTGCAGCTCCATTAGATGAAGATGAGCCAACATCTTATGATGAAGCAAAAGGTGTTGACGAGTGGGAAAACGCAATGAAGGAGGAGATGAATGCTCTCATGAAGAACGAAACTTGGGATTTGGTTCCAAAACCCAAGAATGCCCAACCTGTTTCTTGTAAATGGGTGTACCGGATCAAGCGCAAAACAGATGGAAGCGTTGATAGATTCAAAGCAAGGTTGGTTGCTCGGGGATTCTCTCAAAAGTATGGAGAAGACTATGATGAGACCTTCAGCCCTGTAGCCAAGATGACTACGCCACTTGGTTTTATATCACGAGAGCATCCTGATTATGTGTGTAAGCTGAAGAAGGCCTTGTATGGGTTAAAACAAGCTCCACGAGCCTGGTATGGAAAGCTTGCTCAGTTTCTTCAGTTCTGCGGTTATGTGGCATCAAACTCTGATCCGAGTCTATTCTTCAAGAAGAATGGAGTCCACGTGGTAGTTCTCCTTTACGTGGATGATATGATAATTACCGGGAATGATGGTGCAGAAATTACTCGTTTACAAGAGGATATGTCGATAAGGTTTGAGATGAAGAAGTTGGGAGAGCTCAACAACTTTCTCGGTTTGGAGGTGGAAAGGGTAAAAGGTGGAATATTCATCGGCCAACAAAGCTATGCAAGAAGAATCATTGAGAAGTTTGGAGTACACGAAGGAAAGACACGCTCTACTCCAATGGATGTCAACATAAAGCTTAAACGCGATGAAGGGTCCTTACTACCTGATCCTCGGCCTTATCGCTCTCTTGTAGGAAGTCTTTTATACTTAACCATTACAAGACTTGACATTGCCTTCGCGGTAGGTCTTGTAAGTCGGTTTATGCAGGCACCAAGGAAGCCACATCTAGAAGCGGCAAAGAAGATATTGAAGTATGTAAAGACAACTCTTGGCATGGGTCTGGTGTACAAGTATAATGCCAAGGTCTCTCTTTATGGCTTCACGGATGCTGACTTTGGTGGAGATCTTGATGATCGGAAATCAACTTCAGGCTATGTTTTCCTATGTGGGAACACAAGTGTCTCATGGTGCAGTAAGAAGCAAGCAACGGTGTCGTTATCTACAACTGAAGCAGAGTATAAAGCGTCAACTCTAGCAGCTCAAGAGTGTATTTGGCTTCAGAGACTCCTTGAAGATCTGTTCGAGCCAATCAATAAGCCAATTACAATTTATGGAGATAATCAAAGTGCGATCAAGCTGGCCAATAATCCGGTGTTCCATGGGAGGACTAAACACATTGAGTTAGAGCATCACTTCATAAAAGAGAAGGTGCTTGATGGGACAATTGAAGCTTTGGAAGTTCGAAGCGAGGACAACGTTGCGGATATCTTCACCAAGTCATTACCAAAAGGTCAGTTCGAGTTACTTCGCTCGAAGCTCGGGATGACTGACAAAATCAAGTTTAAAGGGGAGTATTGAAGTTAAACTTGATTTTGGGTTAAGCTTAATTTTGGGTTTATAAAATAATTATTAGTTATTAGATTAGGCCCAAAATTAAGCTCAAGTTCTAGAATCTCTAGAAACATCACTAAAAATCATCATCTTTCTTAAATGTTCTAGAGAATTCTATTAGTTAAATATCTAGATAATTCTATAGATAATTCTAGATGTTGTAGTTAAAATTCTAGATATTATTGTAGAAAATTCTAGAGATTAGGAGAATGTTTGTAAGATATTTTGTAATAAGTGGAGCCTATAAATAGCCCACTACTCCATCATTTGTAAACAAGAGAAGTTGAACAAATAAAGAAAGAGTGTTCTTCATAAGTTCTCTTATTCTCTCTAAAGTTCCTTCAAGTTTTCTCTAAGTATTCTTTCATCTTATTATTCATACTTAGAGGATCTTTGTTTCTTTCGGATCTCTCGGGTATTACGGTCTTGGGCTAGTGCTTGGCACTATCGGTGTTTTCTTTACACAGTTCTCATCCTTTGTCGCTCAGTTTTACGGATTAGTGATGGATCTCTTGCTTCTTGGTTTGACTCGAGCGAATGAGATTGCTGGGCCGCCGCAGAAGCCTAACGAGTTTATGACTTTTTGGGATTCGAAAGTCGAGACGCGACATCCCATAAGATTGTATTCTCGGTATGTAGACAGAGTGCACATGATGTTTAAGTTCACACATGAAGAGGCTCGAGATCTTATTCAGCGTTACCTTAGGGAGAATCCTGATCCCAACAATGAGAACATGGTGGGGTATAACAACAAGAAGTGCTGGCCGAGAGATGGGAGGATGAGGTTGATGAAACATGATGTGAATCTTGGTAGGAGTATCTCCTGGGATATGAAGAACCGTCTTCCTCGGAGCCTTACGACTTTGGATTGGGAGCATAGCTTCGTCTCTGTGTACAGTAAAAATAATCCTAATCTGTTGTTCAGCATGTGTGGGTTTGAGATCAGAATACTTCCGAAAATCAGGATGAGCCAAGAAGTTTTTAGCAACGTTGGTGATGGTGTCTGGAATCTGCAGAATGAACAGACTAAAGAGAAGACTGCTGTTGCTTTCTTGCGGGTCGACGAAGAACAGATTAAGGTGTTTGAGAATCGTGTGAGGCAAATTCTCATGTCTTCAGGGTCAACCACGTTCACCAAGATCACCAATAAATGGAACACAGCTTTGATAGGTCTCATGACTTACTTCCGTGAAGCCACTCTGCATACACCAGAGCTCATTGATCTGTTGGTTAAAGGTGAGAGCAAGATCCAGACAAGGATCAAGATCGGTCTGAACTCAAAGATGCCAAGTCGGTTTCCTCCGGTCGTCTTCTACACTCCAAAGGAACTTGCCGGGCTTGGAATGCTGTCTATGAGTCATATCTTGATTCCTCAAAGTGACATTCGTTACGGCAGACAAACAGACCTTGGTGTTACTCACTTTAGGTCTGGAATGAGCCATGAAGATGATCTAAAGATACCTAATCTTTACCGTTACATACAGCCATGGGAAAGGAGTTTATAGATTCACAACGAGTGTGGGCAGAGTATGCTTTGAAGAGGCAGGAAGCACAATCCCAAAACAGACGTCTTACACTTGAGGATCTTGAAGACTCTTGGGATAGAGGAATCCCACGTGTAAACACTCTATTTCAGAAGGATAGGCACACGTTAGCTTATGATAAAGGTTGGAGAGTCCGTACAGACTTCAAGCAGTACCAAGTCCTGAGACAAAACCCTTTCTGGTGGACTCATCAGAGACATGATGGGAAGCTTTGGAACTTGAACAATTACCGAACCGATGTCATACAAGCTCTTGGAGGTGTTGAGGCTATTCTTGAGCACTCGTTGTTCAAAGGCACATACTTTCCAACGTGGGAGGGTTTATTCTGGGAGAAAGCATCTGGTTTTGATGAGTCAATGAAGTATAAGAAGCTGACGAACGCGCAGAGGTCTGGTCTGAATCAGATTCCTAATAGAAGATTTACTCTCTGGTGGTCTCCGACGATCAATCGAGCGAATGTTTATGTCGGTTTCCAAGTGCAGCTTGACCTGACTGGAATATTCATGCACGGGAAGATTCCTTCTCTTAAGATATCTTTGATTCAGATTTTCCGTGCTCATATGTGGCAGATGATCCACGAGAGTGTTGTTATGGATCTTTGCCAAGTGTTGGACCAAGAACTGGATCAATTGGAGATAGAGACAGTGCAGAAGGAGACGATTCATCCAAGGAAGAGCTACAAGATGAACAGCTCTTGTGCCGATATTCTTCTGTTTGCTGCACATAAATGGCCAGTATCGAAGCCTAGCCTGTTGACCGAGTCGAACGATACGTTTGACCAGAAAGTTACTAACAAGTTTTGGATTGATGTGCAGCTTCGTTGGGGAGACTATGATTCTCATGATATTGAGCGTTACACTAGGTCCAAGTTCATGGATTACACGACTGATAACATGTCTATATATCCATCTCCAACAGGTGTAGTGATTGGGATTGATTTGGCGTACAACATGCACTCTGCGTACGGTAACTGGATCCCTAACTCTAAACCTCTACTTGCTCGAGCGATGAACAAGATTATGAAGTCGAATCCGTCGTTGTATGTGCTGAGAGATAGGATAAGGAAAGGCCTGCAGTTATACTCATCTGAGCCCACGGAGCCGAATCTGTCGTCTCAGAACTACGGAGAGATATTCAGCAACCAGATGATATGGTTTATCGATGATACAAACGTCTATCGTGTGACGATACATAAGACTTTTGAAGGAAATCTGACAACAAAACCAATCAACGGTGCAGCTTTTATATTCAATCCAAGAACCGGTCAGCTTTTCTTGAAGGTTATGCATACAAGTGTTTGGGCTGGTCAGAAGCGTCTTGGTCAACTAGCTAAATGGAAAACCGCCGAGGAAGTTGCCGCGCTTATGCGGTCTCTTCCCGTTGAGGAGCAGCCAAAGCAAGTTATCGTGACTCGTAGAGGGCTTTTGGAGCCGGTTCAGAAGCACATGAACGATTTCCCAAACGTTGTTATCAAGGGAAGTGAGCTTCAGCTTCCGTTCCAGGCCTGTCTTAAGATTGAGAAGTTTGGTGATCTGGTTTTGAAAGCTACCGAGCCACATATGTTACTCTTCAATATCTATGATGATTGGCTTACGAGTGTGTCCTCTTACACTGCCTTTTCAAGACTCATCCTCATCCTCCGTGCTCTTCATGTCAACAATGACAAGGCGAAGATGTTGTTGAAGCCAGACAAGTCTGTTGTCACTGAGAAACATCACGTATGGCCTTCTCTAACTAACGACCAGTGGGTAAAGAGGGAGGTTGCTCTTAAAGATCTCATCCTGTTTGACTACGCGAAGAAGAACAATGTGAACACATCGGCTCTGACGCAATCTGAGATTAGAGATATTATACTTGGAGCTGAGATTACTCCGCCGTCTCAACAGAGGCAACAAATAGCTGAGATTGAGAAACAGAGCAAGGATGTGAGACAGGTTGATGCAGTGACATCAAGGACCACGAATGTACATGGCGATGAGCTCATTGTCACCACCTTTACTCCTTACGAGCAATCTGCGTTCATTTCTACAACAGACTGGCGCGTCCGTGCGATCTCAGCTACTAATCTTCACCTAAGGGTGAACCATATTGATGCAGCATCTAAGGCGTTAGTCTTTACTTGAGCGACAAGTTAGTGTTTAAGTTTTCTTTTCTTTTATTAAATTGGTTTCTGTTTTAGATAAGTTTAAATTCTCTTTTAGATTAGTTCACGAGATTTATCGTAATCTCTTTAGCCTTATATAAAGAGCTTTCGTTGTAACAAAGAAACGACCATTGATATTGAATTTAAATAAACAGAGCTTTTATAAGCGAAAGAGGAAACTCTTATTTATTGTTCATCGTCGAGTTATCACTCGTCAACGAACAAGACCCGAGCTGAGTATCGTTTTCTCTGGGTGAATTCGATCCTCTCCTTGTTGTAGCTTCCGCCCCTCATCAGTTGGTATCAGATTCAAGCGTTCCTGTGATTGTTGATCGTCTTCACAATGCCTCCGAAGATCAACAAACCTGCTGGCGAAAATCATGGTTCCACAGCCGATTGGGCCGAGTTACGTGCGACTCTCCTGGCGATGCAGGAAAACATTCAAACCACCATCCATGCGTCGATTCAAGAGATGAGCGAAACTTTGTGTACCCGTCTAGATGCACGCAACGCAAATCGTGGCCCAAACAATAATGTTAACCCATTCGCCAATCATCATGGTATCGATGATGATGACGTTGAAGAGGATGAGCATCATCGACGTGTTCGCCGCTATGACAACAGATGGGAATCAGGGTTTAAAGTCGATATTCCGGAGTTCCATGGTGGCGTTAAAGGTGATTCTTTAATCGACTGGATCACAGCCGTCGAGGAGATTTTGGATTTCAAGTGTGTACCGGACGAGCGTCGTGTTCCCCTCGTGGCTACAAAGTTTCGTAACCACGCAGCTTCGTGGTGGCAGCAGCATAAGGTCACTCGTTTGCGAACAGGCAAAAGCACCAATACGTTCGTGGGAAAAGCTAAAGCGCCACTTACGCAAAACCTTCTTGCCACACAACTATGAACGCACAACTTACACTCGTCTCCAGAACCTCAAGCAAGGCTCTCGTTCAGTTGATGATTACGCTGAAGAGTTCTATTTGCTAATGACGCGAAACGACATTCATGACAACGAGATCCAAATTGTTTCTCGATTTATCAGGGGTCTCCGTCCTCAGCTTCAGAATGCTCTTAGCCAGTTCGACCCAGTGACAGTAGCGGAGGCGCATCGCCGAGCAGCATCGTTTGAACAACAACTCCGGACCTCGAGTTGGCCCTCTCAAGCCTCCAAACCTCGAGTCTCCGAGTTACTTCCGGGTCAAGCCAGTACTTCAGCTCGCGACACCCTTGACACCGGAGTCACTGCTTCTCGTTCTCCACTCTCCACCGACGATCAGAATCTTCGTCCACCATCCTCACGAAATGCTTTGCGATGCTACGCTTGTGGCCAACAAGGACATCGACAGACAGCTTGCCCCAATAATCAGCGTCGAGGACTTCTCCTGGAAGATCACGATGTTGGGGGTGAGGCCGTGTATGATTCAGCGGGAGACGGCGAAGGCGACGCGACATGCACGTTTGTTCCTACGCACGGAGACACCGAATCTCTCCTCGTGTTACACCGCTCATGTTTAGTACCTCCAAGCCGTGGTGACCTTTGGCTACGTACGAACATTTTACTAATCTTCACCTAAGGGTGAACCATATTTATGTGAACTCGTATGACGTGAATGAAACAGGAGGGTACACTTACATTATGCCAAAGAACGTCTTGAAGAAGTTCATACGCATAGCTGATCTTCGAACTCAGATCGCTGGGTATTTGTACGGTGTAAGCCCCTTAGATAACGCTCAGGTCAAGGAGATCCGTTGCGTGGTGATGGCGCCACAGTATGGGAATCACCAGAGAGTTCACTTGCCGGCGTCTCTTCCTGAGAATGATTTCTTAAAGGATCTTGAGCCCTTGGGATGGATTCACACACAACGTAATGAGCTTCCTCACTTGTCGCCGCAAGATGTTGAATCTCACGCCCGTTTTCTTGAGAACAACAAGTAGGAATGTGACAGAGAGAAATGCATCATCTTGACTTGCAGTTTCACTCCAGGCTCGTGTTCGTTGAGCTCATATAAGCTGACACAAACGGGGTATGAATGGGGACAGCTCAACGAGGACCCTAGCAGCAATCCCAAATGTTACGTTACGACACACTATGAGAAGGTTCAAATGCTGTTGAGTGACCGGTTCCTTGGGTTTTACATGGTTCCTGAAGACGGACTATGGAACTATAACTTTATGGGCGTGAAGTACAAAGTGAACATGAAGTATGGTGTGAAGCTCGGAGATCCCAAGGAGTACTATGACAGTGAGCATCGACCTACTCATTTCCTAAAGTTCAGCAATATGGAGGAGGAGAATAGTGACTTTGGCGAGAGAGATCGCTAGGACGCTTTTGCTTGACTTGAAGGTATTTTTTTACTGTCTTTTTGCTTTTCTTTTTATCCTGTATGTGTCTTGAGAATTTGCAAGAATCATATGTACTTCTAAATTGGAAATTTAAATTTCACTTTCTTCATCTTGATGATATCCTTGAACACCCATTGTTTGAATTGTAACATGTCCTTGAATATATTATATATATATTGTTTGTCTGTGTATGTTATATGGTTCTCTCTCCTGTATATTATCACGATCTGAAGCTTATTGGTCAAAACTTATTTGAAACGGTTTCCTTGTGGCTTATCTTAATTGCAGGAAGTTGATCTCACTTGGGTTGTGTTTGGTGTACTTATATCTGACCTGTGACAGACGTTCTACTAATTATCTGAGGTAGAAGCAAGATTTGTCAGTTGAGATGATGAACTCGAAGGTAACATTAAGCCCTGTAATTGAGTTTTTGACGTTATGTTATTTTATAGCAGTCGTGGAGATACAACATATTGGAGATGAGATTTTAATTTTAATCGCAAGTTATCACTTCTTTTTTTTCTGTGTGATTGTGATTCTTATGTTTCGTTACTGTTGTGCCATAATTTTGATCACAAGATGGTTTTGTAAGAATGTTTGTATGATAGAAAATGATTTTTCTTGCACTATCCATATAAAGTGCTTAATCAATTTATGCAACAGAAACATGTACTCTGACCAAGTGCCTTTTATAAGCTTTTCTGTCCATGGCAGCAATCATATACTGTCTCAACATGTACAAAGCGAGATTCGAACCAACAACCTCGCATCGAATACAGCCACTCTAGTAACCAACAGAGTTATCCACTTTGGTATCTTGTGAGATTTGAACATCACATCCACCAGGAAACATTAGAATAAACCTTCGAAGTACTCTAGTCTCTGTCTTCATTGACCACCTTCAAACCATAGATACATATTATATCATGTAAGTAAAAAAAAACTTTGAGCGTACAGTAAATGAAGGTGCTGAAAAGGAGAACCTGTATCGACACAAATGATGGATAAAAATGGCCATTTGTAGCTTAGCGAACTCAGCTCCTAAACATAGTCTAGTACCAGCACCAAAGGGCATGTAAGTCTTAGAAAGGATCGCAGTCATGTCTTTTTCCTGAAAATTTAATATGTTAACTAAGAAATTTCGTAAATAAGTAGTAAAAAGAATGAATAATATAACAAATACAAATCACCTTCCAACGCCATGGATTAAATGCTAATGGGTCTTCGTACTTTTCAGGATTGAAATGAACATTAGGATAGCCCATGAAGATCCAACCAGCTGGAATTGTGTAATCACCAACTTTGAAGTCATGTTCAATCATTCTTAGCACTGTAGGCACCGTGCTTGTGATCCTTAGAGACTCATTTATCACCTGAAACAAAACGCCATTTTTGTTTTTCTTCTTTCTGAACTAATAATATAACAAGATGCATTTTAACATGTTTGAATGCTATGCAAAGATGACACTAGTACAAACCACTAGATTATATGTGTTGGTCCATGCGTGTGATTGAATTTTGTATCATAGTATATATGATTTTGGCACATTACTCACCATTTGGGTGAAAGTCATTGATTTGTAGTCTTCCCATGTTAGGTCAGCCTCCTTCTCCTTCTCACGGACAATTCGCTCATGCTCTCTCTTCAGTTCTTGCATGACTTTAGGGTTATCGCTTATGAGCTTCAACGTAGCCACAAGGACGCTTGGCGTTGTCTCGTTAGCAACCAAAAACAAAGTGAATATGTACTCGATCACATTCTCTAAGCTCATCGTTTCTCCTCCTCGTTCCATTTCCCCAAATATCATTTTGAAAAACTCCCCAAACTCTTCTCCTGATGCTCTTTTCTTCAACACCGTCTCCTTTAGTATATTCATCATTTGCTTTCTTGCCTGTCCAAGAAAACCATTTCACCTTGATTCTTCTTCTCCAAATCCTTTACATATTAAATGTTAGATGTATTAATAATAATAATAACAATAATAAAAAGAGCACCTTCATCATTTGATAGACACCAGTCCCAGGAATGTTCCACGAGAATCGAAACCACCCCTTTGGAAAATGTCTCCATATTAGTGCGAGTTCTTTTGCTGCCTTTGGTTCCATTTCTCCCATAACTTTCTTCGCAAGGCATTCGATTAAGATCTGTAACGTTTGATGATATGTTTTTTTTTTAATAAGATGAGCCATTTTAAGCAATTGATTGTAATCTTTAAAAGAGGTCCTAGACATTTTTTCGAAACAAATTACCTAAAACTAAAAGGTTTAAAATTACAATATACAAACAAACGTTGGGTGGAGAATATTAACTTTGTTTCAATATTTCATTTTCACATTTAGTTAGTTTCTAAAATAAGAAGACATCAAAATGTTTTGTTTAATTTTAACTATTTTGTTATTTTCCTCTTAATTATGGATGTATTCGTTTGGTACCTTGCTTGATGTTTCTTTGACGTCAAGAACGCCGTTCCTAGCTCCTATCTCCATGTGTGTACGAGCCAAGAGATCGATGTCTTGCATAATTCTCAATTTCAAACATTGTGAACCTAAAAACTGCATTGTCAAGCCACGGAGATGTTTATGGGACTCCTTACTCTGTACAAACAAGTTGTTTTCCCCGAATAGCCTTGCTAAGCTCTTGGGCACACCAGGAACATGGTTTGTCTTTGCTATCTCCATGTTCAATCCAATATCAGTCGAGACTATAACTTTGACTCCAAATAAGCTTGTCCGAAAAAATGGCCCATGTCTAATTTTGAGAAGGAAATAGTAAGACAACGTAACTTTAAATCGAACTAATTAACTATTTTTCAACTTTGGATGATTTGTATATTGATATACTGTATTCCACATTCAACCCAAAATTAATCCCAAATTTTGTATATAACTGGTTTTTCATTACAGGGGAATTATAAAAAATCACATTGCTTTATGTTTTCATTTAAAAAATCTTCACTAAAATTTTTAGGAAGCATTATCTAATAGACTTTTTTTTACTATATTTCTTTCAAAAGAAAAATCAATACACATTATATCATAATTGTTTTTCTGATACATTTCAATAATATAGTATAGTATATATTCACTTTTATGTTAAATACCGAGTTAACAGAGGTCATATAAATGAAATTAACCTGAGGATTTTCTTCTTTACGAATTCTGGAAGTTGGAAAGCATCATGAGATTTCATGAACTCAAATGTCTCTCCGATGATTGGAAAACCCATTGACCCTGGAGGAAGTTTTCCATTACACTTTGGATAGCTCCATTGATAGATCCCATGAAATAGCTTCACCACTATGAGTGAAATTATCACAGTCCATAACTCATACCCTTCTACCATGTTAACTTATATTTCTTTCTTTTAACTATTTTGAAGATGTTAAGTTTAGGGTTCACGGTTGGATGGTGGTTCTCCGAGAGAGACTCCCTCTTTATACTAGTGCTCTCTGGTCGTTCATATAAATTTATTTTAAAATTTTAATCAAGATAGTAACTGTTTGCGTAAGGGAAAGTAGTTGTGCTTGAAGTTAATACTAGTTGACTAGTTGCAAGAGAATTAAAATTCGAAGCGGAGACTTGTCCTTATCATAATCCATCGTAGAACAGTTCCAACTTTATATATATGGAATTTTAAGAAGTCAACACAAACAAGAAGTATAGACTAGATCAGGGTGGAGACGGTTTTAATCATAAAATCAAGTTGGATATATTGTTTGCTATATTGCAAGAAATTTTAGTAGTATATTAGTGGTGTTACTGGTGTATATAATCTTATTTAAGATAATCATTAAAAATATTTTAGAAATTTTAAAATATCTCACTGTAGTGTCATATGTTTATATTTTTTTTTCAACATGTTTCACCATGTTTCACATTCTCTATAGAACAATAATAATGAAACTCATAATATTTATACAAGTTAAATATATATTTTTTTAAAAACAAAGCAAATTTGCGAAGAGTGTTGAATTTGAAGCAAATAATTGTTCTCTTGATATATCATATAATCAGATCAAGATTTTGCAGAAATAAAATATTAAAAAGAAATCAACGTTTAGTTGTTGTGGAGTGCGGACCTTGCGGTTGTAACCAATGTTTTCAAATCTGACCCGGATCGACCGGTTTGCCTGGTTAAAGCGGGATCCGGTCACTCATCAGAGTCGGTTCTATTCTTAAAATCCAAAATTTAGTAATTTGATAAAATCCAGAAAAAACTTGTGAGTAACCTGTGATTTACTTATTCGTTGATTCGGTTAAACCAATAAATTTTTTTAATTAACAAATCTTTTTAATATAAACGATCTCTAACTGAATTATTAGATTTGTTACTTTGTGATTTTTGTCGAGTTTTAAGATTTGTAATTTGTATCAATATTGATTTTTTAACTACTTGTGTTATGTTTTTAATAATATATGTTATGTTTTTTATATTTAACAATTTGAACAATTTATGTTTGTTTTTACATTTAAATCTATTTTTCTATTTTTAAAACTATATATATATATATTATATAATTTTTTATCAATTATTTAATTCACGGTTGACTCAGATCAATTCAGATAAACTCGAAAACTCAGTAACCCAATAAACATTTATGTTTGCTTTCAGATCAGGTTTCAAAACATTGGTTGTAACACATGAACATGCATGGAACAAATAAAATATTATTCTTCTTTTTTTTTGTTACAAAAACATTACATTATTCCATAACGTTATGTTGAAAAGAAGATCTACATAATTTTTTTTTTTTGGCCACGCATTGATCTAATAATATAAGCAACAGGTTAGAGCGCTGTTAGCAGCTGTTCACCAACCTCATTTTTTGGCCATTCACAACACTCATGCCAAAACAATTTTAATGATTAATGAAGTTATTAGATTCATTTTTCGCCAAAGTTTTCAATTGACAGTACTACAGAAAATGTAACTCGCTGGATCTAAAATTAATGTCTGAAACTTCCCATGAAACTGATTTATGAGCCTTATCAAGACCACTTCCCATGAATTATTTGGTACATTTGAAAACAAAATGATAAAGTCTTCAGAAAGATGGATAAAGAACTGCAAAATAATGAAAAGCTAGACAATATTATGGGAGTCAGGCTAGGTCAAAGAACATTATTTGAATTATAATACAAACCAATCACCTCTTCTTTATTGTGTTACATGGACGAATCAGAGAATCAATGATACTTTTACAGGTTTAGGCTGAAACTGCTTTTAAAACGACCTATTAGCAACTTATAATATGCAGATTATCTTTTACAGGTTATAATACTTTTACAGGTTAATTAAGAATGTATGCAGAGGTCTTTCTCCATTATTGGAACTTGGAAGCACGTATATGGGTTATTAACTTATAATATGCATGATCGAGCAACGAGGAACAAGTTGGTGAAGATAACGACAACATTGGTTATCTTTTAAATTTATTTAGATGAGTTCGTGGGGAACTGAGGATCGATTATTTATTTAATAATTTTCTCTCAAATTATAAATAGGATTATATGAAACAGAGTACTAGACAATATTTTATATGGTATTAGCTATACAAATTTTTGTATAACTGATATGTTAAAATAATGTGATCTTCAAATTTAAGATTTCTTCCACTAGTAGTCTAGAAGTATATTCTCTGTGATTTTTTTTTTTCCTTCTCTAACTTTCGGCAAAAATATATATATCTCAACAGAGTATTTGTTGTTTTTTTTCTTTTTTCTTTGATTCTTCAACTTTGAGACTTCTTCCACTCTCCTTGGAGTATCATGCTTTCATAACTTCCATTATTAAACTAGGTCTTGGTAGCGAGCACATTATTGAGACGAGATAAGATTTTGACAAATATGACGGCTTAGATATTAAATGGGCTTTATTAGAAATTATGGGCTAGACATTGATTAATATTATGGGCTATTTCATTAGAAATTATGGCACATAAACAAATTGCAAAGTTGGAGCTGACTTATCCATTGCGTTACGCGTAGGTGCATGCATGTTAATGCAAAAAAAACAAATCAGGAATAGTGTGTTGCTTAAAGTGTCTGGGCCCACAGTATGTGCATCGTAACATTTTACTCGAAAAGTTTTTGGACTGTATGATCACATCGGGCTCTCTCGAGTAACATACGATTGATTCAGGTTTGATGCATATTCAGAGGATTATATAATATGATTTCTTGTAGTGTTCATACAAGGTGCTTAATTAGCTTACAATATATTTCAAAAGAAGCATACACTCTGACCGTTGGTTCTTACAAGATAGTTTTGTATTAAAAAAACTTTATTGTCACGAACAGTCTTAACAATACAAAGGATTCGAACCAACAACCTCAAAAGGAACAACTAATAACCAGCCGAGTTATCAACTTCGGTGTCTTCTGAGATTTGAACACCAGATCCTTCAGGAAACATAAGAATAAACCTTCGAAGTACTCTAGTCTCTTTCTTCATTGACCACCTTCAAAAACCATAGGTACATATCATATATATATAAATATGTAAATGAAAAATTTGAATTAAATTGAATCATGAATCATTTTGGTGATAAAATTGAACCTGTATCTACACAAGTGATGGATAAAAGTGGCCATCAGCAGCTTAGCGAAGTCAGCTCCTAAACATAGTCTTGAACCAGCGCCAAAGGGAATGTAAGTCTTGGAGAGGATTGCAGTCATGTCTTTTTCCTTAAAAAAATTAGTTTAATATATATATGTTTAAAACTCTATGAATATATTATATATTGATTAGTGGAACTGGAGTAATTAAATATAAGTAAAGGATGAGGAACAATCTTAAAAATTTACCTTCCAGCGCCATGGATTAAATGTCAAAGGCTCTTCGTACTTTTCTGGATTGAAATGGGTATTAGCATAGCCCATAAAGATCCAACCAGCTGGAATTGTATAATCACCAACTTTGAACTCACGATCAAATATTCTTAGCACCGTTGGGACCGTGCTTGTGATCCTAAGCGACTCATTTATCACCTGATCCAAAAACACACGTGTTTATCGGTACTAATATCATATTATGTCAAGGTTCATGTACTGACAACGAATGTGTATATAATGATTTTTGGACCCATCATACTCACCATTTGAGTGAAAGTCATTGATTTGTAGTCTTCCCATGTCAGGTCAGTCTCTTTCTTCTCAGTCTTATCCCGGACAATTCGCCCATGCTCTCTCTTCAATTCTTGCATGACTTTAGGGTTATTGCTTATGAGCTTTACTGTAGCCGCAAGGACGCTTGGCGTTGCCTCGTTAGCAATCAAAAAGAAGATAAATACGTACTCGACCGCACTCTCTACGCTTATCGTTCCCGCTCCTCCTTCCATTTCCCCAAATAGCATCTTGAAAAACTCACCAAGCTCTTCTCCTGATGCTCTCTTCCTTAACACCGTCTCCTTTAGTATATCAATCATCCGCTTTCTTGCCTGTCCAAGAAAACCATATCATCAACTCTATTCTCTTTCTCCAAATCTTAAACATATTAAAGGTTACCTACCTTCATCATTTGATAGACACCAGTCCCAGGAATGTTCCATGAAAATCGAAACCATCCTTTTGGAAAATGTGTCCAACATTGGGCGAGTTCTTTTGCCGCCTCTGGTTCCATTTCTCCCATAACTTTCTTCGCAAGACATTCAACTAAGATCTGTAACGTTATATATATTTGATGAGATGATCCAATCTTTTAAAAATCGTGCTACTAGATTAATATATCTGAATTTACACCATATGCATAAATGTTATATTGCTTACCTTGCTTGTTGTTTCCTTGACGTCAAGACCGCTGTTCTTAGCTCCTAGCTTCATGTGTGTGCGAACCAGTAGATCGATGTCTTTTAAAATCCCCATTTTCAAACCTTGTGAACCTAAAAACTGAGTTGTCATGCTTCGGACATGTTTATGAGACTCCTTGCTCTGTACAAACAAGTTGTTTTCCCCGAATAGCCTTGCTAAGCTCTTCGGCATTCCAGGAACATGATTTGTCTTTGCTATCTCCATGTTCAATCCAGTATCAGTCGAGACTATAACTTTGGCTCCAAATAAGCTTGTCCGAAATAGTGGTCCATATCTATGTTTTGTATTTTAATAGAAGGGAAAAGTAAGAAGACCATCATCTACATATATTAATTGATAAAGTTTTTTAAAAAATGTTAAATTTATTTTAATTTTATTAGTTAATATATTTAATTTAAGCAATTTAAATGTAACATGAAAAAAACATTGATGTAATTATAATATATTAACTTCTAATATATGTAGTTTAAAATACAATATTATTTAATTTATATATAAAATTTGATGTTAATTTAAAAAAATTAAGTAGCAGAAATTTTAAAAAAATATTTTTTTTTCAAATAGAATTAAAATCACATTTTCTATACAGAATTTTGTTAAAATTTTACAAATTTCAAATATTTGACAGAAAATTAGTAACAATTTATTTTGCCCAAATTTTTTTTACATCATATATTTAACAGAAAATTTATGTATTTATAAATTTTGGCAATAAATTCGTGAAATCAAATTATTGACAAGTTTTTTTAAAAATCAAATACTTATAAAGTATTTTTTAATATGCAATTTATGCATTCACTAGACAGAAAATTTGCAAATTTATTTTTTAACAAAAAAAATAATAACATCATTATAAAAGAAATTTTTTTGAAATTATATTTCATTTTCTATGGAGAATTTATGATATAGAATTTACAGATTCATGAAAATATAATTATGCATTTTAAATGTATGTGGGATTCAGCTTGATTTTTTTCGATTTGGATATTTGATTCTAAGAAAAATATGAGAAAAAGTAGTATTGGGCATTTGTTTGGTCTGGTTTGGTTTGTTTCAAGGTTTAGATCAGTAATTATCTAAAATAATTATCTAAAATTAATTTTATATATTTTGGTTAAATTTTAACAAAAATAAAAATAAATTAAATAAATTTATTTTAAAAAAAAGATTTTTTTGTATTATATAAGATTTAATATATGAAATTACAATATTATCAGTATGTTACCATGTGTTAGAAAATTTATGTTTTAATGTAACGATTGAAGTTTAAAGTTTATATGTATCAATTTTTGGCATTGGATTCTTTAGAAAAATTAAATTTCAGAAGGTTCATACTTTTTTAAAACGTTAATATTTATCTAACAATTTGATTCAATTCTAAGCTATTTAAAATTTGAAATCTGTTTTTTGAAACCTATCATTCATTTAAAAAAAATCGAGTATATGAGTAATTTTAGATCAATTTCAGATTTTGTTTGCTGTTTACAAAAAAAGTAATTGCTGTTTACAAAAAAAGTAATTGCTGTTTACAAAACGTAACTTTTGAATAAGGAAAATTGATCTTAATTGTGGTCTCAATCTAAAGTCTATAAAATTTAAATCCGATGAAACGCGTTTTAATAATAAAATTTATCAAATTCAGAATTTATATATTTTATTATTTAATACCCAGTATATCCTAATCTAATTTAGTACTTATTATATATTATAATACATCCATTCATCTGTTAATAATATATCAAAATTCCTTTGATATTTTTTTTATCACATGATTTTATATTGTTTACACTACTATCTTTTATTTGATTTGTCTAATCTTAGACCATGCAAAAGATATAGCTTACACCATTAAATATTCTGCTCATAAAGGTATACTAATATTCTAATTATTTGTAATTAATAAACAAAGTATATATCTAACTATATAATAGAGTGCAAAATACTATATTTAACAAAAAAATATATGAAATAAGTTTATATTTAATTTTATGTATTTATAATAAGTATATATGGCTTTGATTGTGCGGTTGAAATATCTTGTTAATAGTTTCATTGCCACTTAAAAACAAAAATCCAAAAGAAAGTACATATGTTACATAAACTAAATTAACCTGAGGATTTTTTTCTGTACGAATCCTGGAAGCTGAAAAGCGTCATGAGGTTTCATGAATTCAAAAGTCTCTCCCATGATCGGAAAACCCATCGACCCTGGAGGAAGTTTTCCACTACACTTTGGATTACTCCATTGATAGATCCAAATACATAGCTTCACTATTATGAGTGAAACTATCACAGTCCATAATTCATAAACCTCTACCATGTTAACTTATTTCTTTCTTTCAACTATTTTGAAATTGTTCGTTTTATGTTCCCTTTAGATTATCCGAGGGAAGCACTCTCTTTATATACTACTAACTCATACAGAGACATATTGAGACTATCTAGATAGAATAGATAAGATTTTGTCATTAAAAAAAAAAAAAACAAAAGAGACAAGATTTTGAAAATATTATGACAAGATAGAATGGATAATTTTATGAATAGTTCACTAGCAAACACTATTGAAGTATTAAAATTGAACACGATATATGCCTATGTTCCATTTCAAAGATTGAAGATCCGGATAGATTCAATATCCGTAATTCTCAAGATTCAATATCGGTTCGGTTCAGAGAATGCGCATATCTATGGTTTCCCGATACGAGGGGATTGCAATTTGCATGTGCATATTGTGAATTGTCAGCTTTTGGCAATGTTAAGAGAAAACCAAACAAAACAAAAAACAATAATGCAGCCGGTGTTTGATGACCCAAAATTGTACACATGTTCTCTTTCTAATTAGGTTTTGTCACTCCTGTTGACCTAACCTCACGCCATGTGTTCCCTTCTCTTCCTTATCACGACTAGTGTCACTCCCAAAAGACGAAATGCCCGGTCAAGAGGATAGACGAACTAGACGGCTACTTAAGACCACTATTTAGGTTGGACCGGTCTATATATATATATATATATATATATATATATTCATAAGTATTTGGAAGCACATCCAAAGTGCTTAGCTTACTTTCTCTTATTTATTCAATAGAAAAGCACAAACAAAAGAAAAACACACAAAGACCCACGTGTCTACAATACATATATCGGTCTTGTAATGAAGTTCTCAGAAGTTACACAACCACTGCCTCTTACAAGACCGTTATATATATATTTGTACACGCCTTTACTCTGGAATTTGAAACTAACGACCTCGAATGGAATATAACAACTTTAATCAATAACCAGCCGAATTATCCATTTCAGTGTCTTCAGAGATTTGAACATCAGATCCACGTGGGAACATAAGTATAAACCTCCGAAGTACTGTAGTTTCTGTCTTCATTGACCACCTTCAAACCATAGATATACATATATATGTCAGTAAAAAAAAATTATTAACTTCAAATATAAATTAAATCATGAGTCATTAGGTGATAAAATGAACCTGTATCTACACAAATGATGGATAAAAATAGCCATCTGCAGCTTAGCAAACTCAGCTCCTAAACATAGTCTAGAACCAGCGCCAAAAGGCATGTAAGTCCTGGAGAGGATCACACTCAAGTCTTTTCCCTGAAATTATTGTTTAAAATTCTATGAATTTGATAAGTGGAATTGGGGTAAAGAAGTAAAGGTTAAAGAACAAGTGAAAATCACCTTCCAGCGCCATGGATTAAATGCTAAAGGGTCTTCGTACTTTTCAGGATTAAAATGGACACTAGGAAAGCCCATGAAGATCCAACCAACTGGAATTGTGTAACCACTAACTTGGATCTCATGTTCAGTTATTCTAAGCATTGTCGGCACCGTGCTTGTGATCCTTAAAGACTCATTTATCACCTGACACAAAATATATGTCCAGATTCAACTCAAAGCTTAATTATTGATTATAAATGAACTAACACATGAATATTTACCTAAACAACATGAAGTCTAACGGGTTTAAATATGAGTCATAATACAATGAACGATACAAGAATAAACTAATAGACAATTTTTGTATCCTTGTAAAGTTATAATATATGATTTTGGTATATACTCACCATCTGGGTGAAAGTCATTGATTTGTAATCTTCCCATGTTAAGTCAGCCTCCTTCTTCTCAGTCTTATCCCGGACAATTTGCGCATGCTCTCTCTGCAACTCTTGCTTGACTTTAGGGTTATCGTTTATGAGTTTTACAGTAGCTGCAAGGACCCCTGGCGTTGTTTCGTTAGCAATCACAAAGAAAGTAAATATGTACTCTATCGCATTCTCTATGCTCATCGTTTCTGCTCCTCCTTCTGTTTCCCCAAATATGATCTTGAAAAACTCCCCAAACTCCTCTCCTGATGCTCTCTTCTTCAACACGGTCTCCTTGATTAGATTCATCATCTGCTTTCTTGCCTGTCAAGGAACACCACCACCTCTATTCTTTCTCCATAATATAGTGGATTAGTGCTATTAAGGTTAGATAAAAAAACACGTACCTTCAACATTCGATAGACGCCAGTCCCAGGAATGTTCCATGAGAATCGAAACCAGCCCCTTGGAAAGTATGTCCAGCAGCGTGTTAGTTCTTCTGCGGCCTCTGGTTCCATATCACCCATAACTTTCTTCGCAAGACATTCAATTAAGATCTGTAACATTTGATGACATGTGTTTGATGAGATGACCCATCTTAAGTGATATAGTTGACTACTTATTGTACATACAGCGCGAAATGGATGAAACATTTTATTTAATTACCTTGCTTGTTGTTTCCTTGGTGTCAAGACCACCACTCTTAGCTCCTACCTCCATATGTTTGCGAGCCAAGAAATCAATGTCTTGTATCATCCTCAGTCTCAAACCTTGCGAACCTAAAAACTGGGTTGTCAAGTTTCGGACATGTTTATGGGACTCCTTACTCCGTACAAACAAGTTGTTTTCCCCAAAGAATCGCACTAAGCTCTTCGGCGTTCCAGGAGCATGATTCGTCTTTGCTATCTCCATGTTCAATCCAATATCAGTCGAGATAATAACTTTGGCTCCAAATAAGCTTGTCCGGAAAATTGGTCCATGTCTAATATTATGTTTGGGAAAAGGAAATACGAGAAAACACTTTGTAAGTAGTAATTAAGAGAAGACATTAGTATGTTTCTTGCCAACCAAAAAAATGGCCGACAAAACAAAAAGAATAAAACTTTACAAAATGACAAATGCATGGAAGGGAAATCAACTAGGTCACATTAATTAAAATAACCTGAGGAGTTTTTTCGTCAAGAATGTAGGCAACTGAAAGGCGTCATGAGGCTTCATGAACTCGAAAGTCTCTCCGATTATAGGAAACCCCATCGACCCTGGAGGAAGTTTTCCATTACTATTTGGATTTATCCACTTATAGATCCAGTGACATAGCTTTACCACTGAGAGTGAAACTATTATAGTCCAGAACTCATAAACCTCGACCATGTTGATTTATTTCTCTCTTCCACTTATTTAGGATATAGTTTTAAGGTTTGGTGTTGCATACTTATCCGAGGAAGGAACTATCTCTTTATATTAGTGCTTCATCTATAAATTATTAATCAATAAATTAATCAATAAATTAATTAATTTCTTAGATTGGTTCAAAATATAACATAATTCGATTAAATAATAAGATAACTAAAAAGTTATACAAAAATACAACTATAATAATCTTAATTAATATATATATATGTATAATGTTAGTATTTTTTAAAGAATATTGAAATATTCTTAGAACCGATTTCTAAGTTTAGAAGAAAAATTTAGAATATATTATAAATGTTAAAGAAAATATGATTTTATTAATTATTAATAAATATTGAAGTTTGATTGAAATTCATAAATTAATCTCTATAAATTAAAATATTAAACTCTCAATATTATTAATTTATAAAATTTGACTGTATATATAAAAAAATCAAGATGGTAACGGCTTATGTAAGGAAAAACAGCTGTTCTTGTGTTTAAAAGAGGCAATTAATACGAGTTGTTAGAGAGTTGAAATTGAAGCGGAGACTCACTACTTATTTTTGAATCTCTACCATTTTAAGTTATTTGCTCTCTAGTTCTGTATTCCTCCACTGGTGCATCCAATGAATTAGCTTAATCACAGTCCATACTTTTTGAATATCTACCATTTTAAGTTACTTCTTTCGTTCGACTATTTTGAAGGTATTGGTTTTAGGATTTAGGATTGCATTAATTATTTTCTCATGGAAACACTCTCTCTTTAAGTGCTCTCTGGTTGATATGCAGAGAGGTAACTGTATATAAATTAATTATTATCTAGTGGTGGAAAAAGTGGTCATTCACCAGTAAATTTATGTTCGAACTTCCACATCCCCAACTAATCCATATAAATTTTCATCGTTTATTGTAGTATTATATATTATCATATATACAGCATATTTTATATATATACTAGTATTTCTCCCGTACTATGTACGAGATAACAATAGGTACATAACAATAGAAAAATATTTATATAATCGAAATTATTTTACTCATTAGTTTAAGAACATATGATTCTTACTACATAATGTATGCTATATCTTTTAAATCTAAATAACATAAATCAGACATGACTAACTCATCAAACATCAAATATATCAAACATTGACTATAACCAAAGTTTTTTTACCGAAAATCTAAAACATTGAAATTATAAAGAAAATGAAAAGTATCAAAGACTTTCATATTTCCATATGAAAAAGTCTATTGTTTTCATTTTTTTTTGAAACACTATTGTTTGTATATACAATAAAAAAATAGAAAACGCTTTAACAATTAATGAAAATATTATTTTTAATCAAAAGCTTTTCCTCCGATTTCATCATATTTATGTCTGGTTGGGACATTCAGTATGGTCCCAATTTTTAAATTGAAGAAGAAGGAGTAGAAAACTTTCATATTCTGTTTTCGATCAATTGGGTTTAAATTTGGTTCTAAACAATTGCTTTTTTTTCTCCTAGCCAGTGAAAGAGATTGAGATCATGGAGAGAAACGGTTAAGAAACTGCTGAAACTTTTATTAATATATTTTAATTTGTTTTTTTTCCTTTAATTGACCGTGAAACACACAAATTCATGTGGTAAGCAAATCAAAAATAATTTTAATTAGAAAATAAAAATGACATGTGTTACTTTAGAATTGTCAATTCACTTCTGTTCTATAAGTATAAAGATAAATTAAATCTGTATATTATGACTCTGATAAAAAAAATTCTTATGTCTCTTAATATAATCTCATTAAGAAGGTAACTTTTTATTTAAGAAATAACAGCTGTGTTTGCATCTACAAGTACTAGTTGTAAAAGACAAAGCGTTAGAATTGTTGTCGACTGTTAGGAGGCAAGTCCAACTACATGTGCGGCTACCAAAGTTAAGATTATTCATATCAAAAGGTCTGGATGTCAAAACTAATATAGGAGAGACTCCTTCCTAGATAGCTAATATGAATTAATGAATATCCTTGTCAGAAAAGAATAAGCTTAATACTTTCCCTCAAGATAGAGAATGTAGATCTCGAACTCCCATCTTGCAAAGTAATGTAGTTGAATTTTTCTCCACCAAGGGCCTTGATAGAAAATTATGCTATTTATTCCAATGTAGGAACATGATTGGTCGAGTCCGTATCATCTTGAACTGCATCACGCACTAAATCTGTGTTGTGATCCGAGGATGGGTAATCTTCGGTGATCAGTTCTAAACTAGCAAATTTGATGCTGACTAATTTATTCGCAATTGAGCTATGAGGCGAGACTATAACTATCTGAAGTCCTAGAGCAATTTAGGAAAATACTGTATATTTGTAAAATACATTTAATTTATATTAATTTGATCATTTTATGTATATACATAGACATTTTAGTTGGCAGATAGAAAAAGTTGTGTTGGTTTGTTTATTCATCATGGTCATCTATTAAAGCAGAATAAAACAAGCTTCTTGAAAGAAAGACGCCCTTTGAATGACTTGCTTGATTATATATATAAATTAAATCCGTATATTATGACTGATTAAACAAATTCTTATGTCTCTTAATATAATCTTCATTTTAATCACACTTAATTACTTATTTGATCGTTTTTTTGTTACATCGGACATCTTGTTGCAAAAAAAACATTGTTAGGATTTGATGAGCAAAAAAAAGTAGGTTGATAAAATGAACATAGTGACTAAAATCTTTCGCCACAAAAGTGGCTACTACTAAAAACCATATTCCCTCCTTTTCAAAATGTACGATGTTTTAGTTATTTTCTTTGTTCTATAAAATATGATGTTTTAGAGTATTAAATATATCTTTTTGTAAATTTCAAGAAAAATAACTGAAATTATTTAAATTCTTAAAATTTTATTGGTTAACAGTTATTAAAAAGTAATCATTATTAAACAGCAATGTATTAATAACTAAAACATAATTGTTTCTTAATTTGTGTGAACATGCCAAAACATCGTACTTTTTAGTACTAATCATTACCCACGATCCGTCACAAATAGAGACTACAAATTTTGTCATAAAGTTGTCAACTCTATGGAAACTAACTAGTCACAAGTGAGATAAGTCAGATGCAGTTTCTGCAACAAAATCAGAACACACTTTCGTAATAAAAAAAGTTTGATAATATATCGTTTTTTTTGTCACTCATTTATGACGATTTTTTTGTCACAGAAAACAGAGTGAAAGGTTGCACCAGACCATAATTAAATCTAGCTGCTTGGTTCCTTTGCGATTTCGACCTTGCAACCAGCAGGAAACATAAGCATATACCTTCGAAGCACTCTAGTTTTCGGGTCCAACGACCACCTGACCAAAAATTCACATCTGTTAAAGGTAAGCACAAGAATGTACACCTCTTCACTTTTACTCTTAAGGCCAAGACATCCAGTATATAGCAACTAATATATTAGATAACCTGAATATGGACAAATGATGGAGAAATACAGCGATTATGCACTTTGCAAACTCAGACCCTACACAAAGAGGAATGTAATCCTTGGACAAGGTACCATGTAAATATTTCCCCTGAAATTATTATCCACCGAAACAAAATTTTACTGGTTCAATTCTATTTCAAATAGATTGATCTTTTGAGTTTTTTTATTTTTTTTATAAAGATTGATTTTCTATGTTTTAAAAAATCATTTTATCTGAAACAGAGGGAGTACATTTTATCATTTTGTATGTGTTGTCTCACGTGTGTGTAGCTATTACCTTCCATCTCCATGGATTAAACTTGAGAGGATCCTCATACTTTTCTTCGTCGAAATGAACAAGAGGAATGCCAAAAAAGAACCATCCAGCTGGTATTGTATAACCTGCCCAGTTCACTAACTTATGAGCCAACTTTGTACGTGGTAGTGTAGAATCAGGCACGAAAAGTAAACCCATAGCACTTAAAAATTAAATGAGAGAACGAACATAATCGAAAAACAAAACAGTCAAAGAGAAGAATTTCTTAATTTGTATAAACCAATAACCATCGACAAAGCCAACAGAAACCTCCAAGAACTAAGTTAATCTTAAGAAATAAAGAAATAGATATCCGGAAAATATTTCTTAAAGCAAGAAACAAAAAAATCAAAACTACAAAGGAACCTAAAATATAAAAAGTTTGATCCGTATCAGAATCTTTGTGTTTGTTCAAGTATGCACGATTATCATTAGCGGTGATGAGTTGCAAATTGTAAAGAAACGTAAAAAGATTAAACAAAACCTCCAATCTGAACGTCCTCAGTGGGTATTCTATGTACCGTAGGTTGTGCACTAGTAAACCGAAGAGACTCTTTGATAACCTGAAAAGTGAAAACACATTAGTCACATTTTCTTTTTGTTGGTAGCAATGTATAATGTCATATAATATGCAAGCAATGTGTAAGCTGTTAAGCTGACCATATGGGTGAAAGTCATGGTTTTGAACCACCGCCTCGTGCTCTCTCTACAACAAGTTATACATGTACATGAAATCAGCAAAGATAAGAAAACAAATGAAAAAAAGTGTTTCTTCATCTTCCTCATCTTGCTGTATAACATTTACAGATCGTTGTCGAACAGAAGAAATCAGTTTCTTGGACTTGTAAAAACTTTTAGTTTCTATTTTTTTTCGGCCGCTTGAAGAAACAAGGAAGATGAAGAAACTTTTTCTTAATTTTTTTTTTCATCTTATTTTTGGATATTTTGATTAGGATAAATAATAAAATTCATTCAAAATCATTTCACCATTATTTACTGGAAAATGACTAGTGCTGTCAATTTTTTTTACGTACGGCACAAACTGAATTAGTTTAATAGTTTGAAGTGAAAGTTTCTACTTCAATTGTTTAAAGTGATAATGAAAATGTCTCAAAATTTAAAAGTGCTAACAATTTATACTTTGAGGCTAAAAATGCGATTTTCCTTAAAAAGATTAACAAGTTAAAAGAAAACAAACCTTTAGTTCTTCCATGACATCAGGATTATCAGCAACGAGCTTCACAGTTGCTCCTAGAATTGTGGGAGTCGTCTCTTGAGAGATTATGAAAAAGGTCAATATCAAGTCGACAGCTCTGTCTATGTCCAAGAAATCACCGAGTCCTTCTTTTGACGCATTCTTCTTCTGAATCAATCCTTTTAGCAGCTTCGCAGCCCTCCTCCGTGCCTATTTAAAAATCATATTTACATGTTATGTATCTGAAATCATAATATTTATGGAATTAAGACGAAATGAAACTACATATGTTGACCTTCACGAGTCGATAAACAGTTGTCCCAGGGAAGTTGTAGGAGAAATTAAACCAGTTAGTTCGGAAAGCTGTCCAACAAAGTCCTAGTTCTCTTACGGCCTCAGATTCCATTTCACCAAATACTTTCTTCACGATAAGTTCAACCTCCATCTTCATGTTACAAAGGTTAGCAAAGACACATAAATTATAGTAGTTAGATACATACAAGATTTAATGGATCAACGGTTATTGTATATGTAACTTAAAAGTGACCTTGGTTGCTGCTTCTTTGATGTCGAAAGAAATGCTTGTTGCTCCTTTCTCGATCTTGAAGTAGTTACGAGACAAAACATCAATGTCTTGAAGCAATCTGTTTTTTAAGTTTTCTGGCCCTACAAATCTAGAAGTCAAGTTTCGGACATATTTATGAATCTCCTTCCTTTGGAGGAAGTCGCTGTTTTCTCCAAAGAGCCGCCTTAAGCTCTCCGGAGCACCACACTGGGTACTTGCCTTTGCCATCTCCATATTCACTTCTTGATCGGTCGAAATTATAGCTTTGGCCCCAAATAGACTTGTTCGAAACACTTTTGAACCATATCTGATCCATTTATTTTCAAGATATAAATATATATACCAAAACATTTCAAACTAACTCTTGTGTAATTATTCTGGAGATATTTTTTGTTGCAGTTTAAACATTTCTAATGTGGAAAAAAAACCTACAACTTAATCTTTGAATGATTACTTTAAAAAACAACAGTGAAATACTCCCTTTATTCTTAAATAAAGAACACTTTAGAGTTTTCACAGATATTAAGAAGACAAATTTAATTAATACTTAACTATAAATGCATTTTTGTATGTAACTAAAGATTTCCTATTATTTTTATCCAATAGCAATTCAATAATTTCAATAATTTTTCTTAAAGTTTACAATTCACCATTATTAACTAATAAAAATGCATTGAAAACATAAAACATTCTTCTTTTTGAAACATTTTTTTCTGAACATTTTTTTTAAAAGAACAGAAAGAGTATTGACAAAAGGTTGTTTTATGGGATCTAAATTTTAACATCAAATAAGTTGTTTTTCTTTTAACAATGGCCTCAACATCAATGATCCAAATATTTGGGAATAATATCTTCACTTCAAACTTTAACAGAAGGATATCTGGTAAAGTTTCTATTGTTTTCTGAAAAAAATCTTCATTTCCTATCTAATTTTATTAAAAACTTTTAAATTGAAACAACAGCAGGGCTTTTTAGAAGACAAAAATGAAACCAGAAATAAATATTTTTCAAGGAGTAATAATGTGAGGTAACTAATATACACATACATATATTTATGAAACGAGAAATCATTTAATATATATGCATACATATTACAAGTGCCAAAAAGGTGAAACGAACATAAGATGTTAGTAACCTGGATATTCTCTTCTCTAGATACGGTGAAACCGCAGAACTGAAATCATAAGCTGTCATGAATTCAAAAGTCTCTCCGATGATCGGAAACCCCATGGATCCCGGAGGAAGTTTACCTTTGCATTTAGGGTTCGTCCAACGATATATCCAGTGGCAGAGTTTCACTACTATAAATGAAACTATAACCGGGAATAGCCCATAAAACTCCAACATTTGTGTTTCTTCAAAGTGTATGCTTTCGCGTTGTACGGGTTTTAAAAGCGTTGCTCTCTACTTATACTTGAGTCTGCTGTTCATTCGTACGTGTAAGATTAAATTAAGTCATAAAAGCAAAGCTAATCGTTAGTATAATTTTCACATTAAAAACCTACTATTTATTAGTATGTAATAATGGACACGCAAACTTCTACTAATAAATACAGGAGAGTGATTGATCCTCAACCACATGAAAAGTTTCAATTCAATCTCAATACACACACAGTTTCGGCATCTAACGCTATTCAAAATTTCACATTCATAACATCACATCAAACGCAAATTTTTGTGTGTTCAATCTGTCCAAATTGCGGGTGAACTCCCTGAACCGGTTATTAATTAGTTAATTGATACTTGAGCCGGTTTATTGTTTGGGTCGAATTCAGTTTTTTTTTTGACGTAAAAAAAAAAAATGTCGAAATGTCGTTCAATGGATGTCTAATCTCTAATGCATGCCACCACGTAACAATAAATTTATTTTTGTTTAATTATAGTAATTATCTTTTTTTTTGAATAAGTCTAGTAATTATCTACACAACAGAGTTTGTTCATGCAGAAATTTAGATATTGTATGGTCTTCAAAACGCAAAATTTAGAAATATTTCCTATTAAGTGCAGCAAAAATATGAATATTACTGAAATTTCTTTTTTCTAACAATCAAGACCAAATCATTAAACTCCTGAAGGTAACATAATACCATTTACTTAAATGCTGATGTGTTGTGCTTTATTCTAACTTTTTAGTTTTTAGTTATTTTGGATCAAATGATGTTCGGAGACGAAGTTTAGAATATTTGGAATGAAAATAGACAAAAACATAAAAGAGCAGAAAAAGGAACACGGATTGAAAGATCCATCCCACACAAATTGATCGATCTGCTGAAGACTCAATAATGCATAATTTCAAATAGTAAAAAAACTGATCGATTACTCAAAGATTAATTTATTTGTTAGGTGTAAGAGGTACTTCTAAGAGAGTTCATATTTATCGTTAGTTAGGTTGTTAGATTTGGATTTATTCGTTTAGAGTTCTACTTTCTTATATTACAAGATCTTTTTTTTTTTCGTAAAGATCACTTCATTAAGTAATGTTCTCTTTTTGGAGATTTTCTCTATGCTTTGTGCCAGCTAAGTAGTTTTATTAACAACAAAAAGAAAATCAATTTTAAGCAGGAGATGGCGCCCTAAACAAGTAAGAGCTTTGCGAAAACTATGTTATCACATGAAAAGTTAAAGTGTGCTTGAAATCAAAACATGCATTCAAAGATCATCTTATCAAAATAATCACAAGCATACATGCATTATTCTTGCTTGTCGCCCAAATCGAAAGTATCCAAACAAATTTATTTGATTGGGTCTCCGAAATTATTTATTCTCCCATGTATATTATATAACCAATATCAAAATCTACAAACTTTATTAAAAATAGATAGTATGTTTCTGAGAATATATTTTTTAGGTTTTTTTCACACACACAACAAATATTTACAATCGACAGTTCCAATAATTTGGATTTCTAAACTCAACCTATTGACAACAACATAAAAAAAAATAACAATTCTATACTCATTTTTATTAATTGCTATTTAAGTTTTATCAATAAATAATTAAAATGATAAGAGAAAATTAAGAAGAACTCTAATAATCTAGCTAATAATATGTACACTTTTAAAAATATTTTCTGTTTGTAAAACATTGGGAGTATAAATCAATACCACATCAGAGAGACCCATGGAAGTTTTCTTACCTGCTTTAGTTTTACTTTTCTTTCCTTGTCTTTTTAGTTAACAAAGAAAGAAAATGGAAACGAAGGTAAATGATGTGGGGAGAGAACTGATCAAACCTGCTTCACCAGCACCTCAAGATCGCCTTCAACTCTCCCTCTTCGATCTCTCCAGTCCAGCAATTTACGTTTCAGCAATCTTCTTCTACAAATCCCTCGCCGGAGAGTCGTCGGAGATCACCTCCAAAAGGCTGAAGAGTTCCCTATCGGAGACTCTATCACGTTTCTATCCTCTAGCCGGACGACTCGATGGCCTCTCCATCAACTGCAACGACGAAGGAGCCGTGTTCACCGAAGCAAGAACCGATCTCCTCCTCTCCGATTTCCTCAAGAACAACCTCGCTAACACTGACTCTCTTGGAGAGTTCCTCCCTCAAACCACACCAGGAGAATCTGCGGGGACGTGGCCGTTGCTGAGTGTAAAGGCCAGCTTTTTCGGATCCGAATCAGGAGTTGCGATCACTGTGGCTGTCTCTCACAAAATCTGCGACGCAGCCTCGCTTTTGACATTTGTCATGGGATGGGCCGCTACAGCCAATGACGTGGCGGAGACGACTCCTCAGTTTGCAGGAGCTACCATTTACCCTCCCCCACATAGCTCTTTCCAGTCTCCGTCAGTGGATGGCCTTTTCGAGCTTAGAGGAAAGTGTGTAACCAATAGATTCGTCTTCAAATCCTCCAAGATCGCTGAGCTCAAAGGCAAGGCCGCAAGCAAAAGTGTCCCGGTGCCTACACGTGTGGAAGTCATCGCATCACTCATTTGGAGATGTGCAAGAAATGCCTCACGTTCTAACTTGGTCTCTCCAAAGTCAACGATGATGATCCAAGTCATGGACTTGCGGCTTAGGATCCCCGTTAATGTTTTGTCACGTGAGGCGATCGGCAACCTTCTCTCTGCGTTCTTTCTCAAGGAAGGCTCAGAGAGCGAGATGGAGATTGGCAAAGTCGTTGCCGAATTTAGAAAGGCCAAAGAAGGTGTCAATGAGATGATCAAGGAGAACCTTCAACGCTACGATACTGCTAGTACAATCACCACTGCCACACTTGGTCAGAACTTGCTGAGTGTTGTGGGGAATTTCATGGCAGAGTTAAAACCGGACTTATACACAATGACTAGCTGGTGCAAAAAGCCTTTCTATGAGGTTGACTTTGGATGGGGTACTCCGGTATGGATTGGATCTGCTTCGCATACCATCTGTGACAGTTTCGTGTATGTGTTGCTAATAGATTCAAAGAATGGTGAAGATGTAGAAGCTTGGGTAGGCTTACCCAAACAACACATGAATGTGTTCGTTTGTGACCAAGACTTGCTTAGTTATGCCGACGTAAACCCTCCAGTCCTGATCTGAATAAATGACCATGTCTCAATGTTTGGTCATCAATATCCAAGATTGCAATATATATGCTTTGTTGTTCATCGTTGTTTGACTTTTGCGTTGCGCTCTGATTTGAATAGAGAGAACAATCATTTCAATTTCAATTTAGTTGATTTATCTGTGTCACCTTGATCTTGTTTGTACTCTCTACCGTTTATTTACAACTTTTGTTTGTCAACTCTTTCATTTCCAGTTACCATTAACGCTTTAATGATTTAAAATATTTCACAGTTTTTTTTTTTACCAGTTACTTCTAATTTGGATAAGAGAAAAAAAACTTTTGAAGCCTAACCAGTTCCGTGTTGTTGTTGTGTTTGAGCTCGTTATGTTTCAAAATGCATGATATCATGTAATAAATTTAATTTCCTTCTTAATTGAGACAGAAGTCTCAAACTTGTTGTTCATCATCCCGCGTCCATGTCCATCAACACCACATAGCTCTGCTAATTTAGTTTGGATTTGGTTCAGATTTGTTTTTATCTCTCTAGTTATCTGTCTTAATGAATTTCTCATGTCTAAGAAATTCATCTACTTAAGGGATTCAAAAAGATGTCCGAAAGTGATGAAAGAAGTACGAGGAAAAGTCTTTACGGAAGATAACTTGCAAAACAAGACATATATACCTTGTGCACCATATTGTAAGCCGTCAAAACCTCGTATATGGATTGAAGCTTGTGAATGGAAAAAAAATATTAGGTCTTGATATATTTTTTAGCATATTTTTTATGAATTATAATTTAATTATAAAAGTTTACATTATATTGATGTTAGCAATATATTAATATTATAGCAATATTTTAAAGTGGGAACCACCAAAATCAAAATAAGAATTGTAATATATAAATCGATTAAAGATGATAACAATATATAAAAAAGAGATGAAAGAAGATTTTTGAAAACACAATTTACTAATAAATATTGATCAAAGTCAAGAATTTGTTTTTTTTTTTTAACTACAAAAAAAATCTCATAATATGATGGTAGTGTACCATTTAAAGTCTCAGAACACAACTGATATGAGACTGTTTTGCAGCATTCGAAAACGGAATTTATGAACTTAAGAAATTCTATTTAAACTTTCGAGACTTACTTTAAAGCGTATTGATAGAGCGAGAGAGATTTAAGAGATTTTTTTTTTGTTTCAGAAAAGTATATTTTCAAATGAGAGTGCAAGCTTTCTTTTATAGCTAAGAGGAGCCCATTGAGAATCTTCTCAAGTAAGGGCAAATGCGTAACACATGCAAGAAGAGATTGTAGACAAAAGTCCGCTAAACATTATGATTTATTTGAACCACATCGTTTGAATTTAATCCAATTGACCGATTTTTTTATTTTCTGGCCAAACTATTAATTAACAATTTAGTTTTAAAGTCTTGAGCCCTAAAATAATTGTCAAAATTTGGCCCAAAAAAAAATAGTCGCCTATGGCCCGAAAGCCCATTCGACCAACACGACCCGGCCCGACTTGGTGGGGGCAGCGCAGGCGGCGGCGGCGCACGCGTGGGGATCGTTCCAATCTCTCTTGTGCACACCCTGGATAGTTTGTCATTAGAACAAATGCTTTGACCCTTCTCTATATATAGTAGAAGATTTATTTTCCTATTTTCGATAAGGGACAAATACCACATTTTTACACTTCATTCAATTTTGGTCATATCCCATTTCTCTTCACCTAAGTTCAATTTTTTCGAAAGCGTATTAACTTTTAAAAATTGGACCCAACATTTAATACTATTGTTATACTTATGCTGTATGATAGGATTTCATATCAAATACAACTGAATAATACTATATTGATGTTAGCAAATATTGAAGGAGTAAGTGAATTGAATATTCTCTCTGAGTTTAATCATCATGTGTATACAACTCATAATACTATATTGATCGTTAAGATAAATTGATCGATTCCTAATGATCGATCAGTTCTTCTAAACACTCTATGTTGAAGATTTTCTAAAGAGTAAAAAAAACTAATCAATCCACTTAAAGATTGATGGATCCATTCAACAATCGATCAGTCCTTCGTGGATCGATTGATTAAAACATGCTGATTTTGAAGAATATGTCGTTATTTTCCGGCCAACACATCGAGTGTAGTTTGGTAGTTAGATACAAATAATTTTTATGTTTCAATTTTCTTTTCTTTCCTCTTTCGCGATTTTTTAAAATCAGCCATATTGAGTGAAAGTTAGGGAACACAACACGGACCCTCAATTTGAAAATTTACACACCAAATTAAAATGAGATAAAATCAAATTAACTAGCAATGTTTGAAAATATGCACATCTTTTTATAATGTGAACATAGAAAATTTCATAAAATTATAATGAGACAATCAAGTCAACTAGAAAAGTTTGAAAAATATATTTTTGCTGTAGAACCTTAGATATAAAGAATGAATACATGCACGAAGAAAGAGTTTTGTATTGAATATGAATGTGAACTAGATTATTTAGGAAGATGAGTAGAAAGGGTATTTGTATAAAATATAAAAGAGCATTAACAGAAAGCCAATTACTACTATATGAAAAAGTAATTTTAGGGATGATGAATGAGTAATCTTAAGGATGGAGTCCAACTATAGAAAAATACAATATTCATATTGAAGTTTATTACACACAAAAGCATATTTCAGCAATTCATTACAGAAATAGATATTTTTTTGCATTTAGAGCACTTTTTGATTTTTGTTGCAACTACTATACTTGAATGCCCTCAATACCCTTGCAAATTGTTACTGCATTTTGACCAAGACTTCAGTTGGAAAATGGGAGGAAGAAGATAGTTCTTCATCGGAATAAGAAAAGCCTGAAGTTCCCGTCGGAGCTCCTTCCACCGCCGCTGTAACAATCGTCATTACAGGCAAAACTACCATTGAATTTGCCATAACTGCAAAGCATGCCTCCAATTCGGATTCTGGATCAGAGACAGATTCCGACTCCAAAACCGGATAGCCTTCGAATCATGGATCTGGAAAAGCTGTTTCCACCCACCCACACAACCCATAAACACGAGGTTCAACCCTATTACTTTCTCATTCGGATCTCACCATAATAATAAGAAGCAACACATGATAAGGAAAAACACAACAACCCAGATCTACTCCTTTGTCACCCCGATCTATTCCTCCTAAACCAGGACCACCATCGACAACTCCAACCATGTCGGGCAGATCTGAGAACAAGAATCCTAATAAAAAAGGAAGAATGACACTTTAATTTGGACACATCTCGATGGACACGATCTGATGGACACAATGACTCGATGGACACGGTTACATAATTTGATGGACAAGGTCTGATGGACATATCTCAATAATTATAAATTGGTTGATAGATTGTTAATGTTCAGTCGTTTGAAAGATAATTATTTGTAACAAGATTAGTTTGATCAAATTCAAAGCTTTAGTGAATGGAAAATTATTCCCAAGAAAAGCTAAGATGATTGGTGACCTCGTTTAAGAGGACACAAGACAGAGATGTATAGATTTGTACAAAATCTCCAGAAATTGTGTTAATTGAAGCTTTCCAGATCAAAATCTATGAAGTTGCGAGTGATCTTACCTTGAATAGATATAGAAATGTGTTCGTTGATGATGTGTAATGGATAAATTTGTGTTGAGAATGAGGCGTGGAAAAATTACTTATATGAAAATATTGAGAGAAACCAAGAACGTATAGACAGAAATCTGCGGACATTGAACATTAATAGGTGTGGTTAGAGACAAAACTTTCTCTGTTAGGGTATCTTTTCATGAACATATTTGCCGGCATAAATGCAGCAGTGTGGACGCAACCTCATCTATGATGTTACCAACATAGATTTGTACAAAATCTCCAGAAATTTGATAATTGAAGCTTTCCATATCAAAATATATGAAGGTGTGAGTGATCTTACCTAGAATAGATATGGACAGGTGTTTGTGGATGATGTGTAATAAATAAATTTGTGTTGAGAAGGAGGCCTGGAAAAATCACTTATATGAAAATATTGAGAGAAACCAAGAACTAATGGACATAAAGTTGTGGACATTGAACATAAGTAGGTGTGGTTAGAGACAAAATTTTGTCTGTTGGGGTATCTTTTCATGAACATATTTGCCAGCATGAATGCAGCAATGTGGATGCAACCTCATGGATACACATTCATGGACACACCAACAAGTTACCAACCTTATATGATGTTACCGTCTTCACCTCTTCACACTTTCTTATTTTCTGCATTGCATTATCCATCTTTTTTGAAACGGAAAATATTATGTACATGCATGTCTGTCCATAATAGGGATTCTCTTCAAAATTTATTGTTTTCAACACTGTCCATCTTCTTTAAAACGGAAAATATTATGTCCATGTGTGTGTGGACAAAAATCCAGTAATTTATAGGCCACACAGCCTCATCTATGATTGATTTGAGCAATATTTGATTGTGGAGGGGTTGCGATAGACAACAAACCAGATCAAGAATCCAAAATCGATGATTGAAGATCAATTCTTATTTTTAATTCTGTCCACAAGACAATATTGTTAGGGAATGGCCACTTGCTGTATTGACGGGTTGCAATGGACAACAAACCATATCAAGAATACTAAATCGATGATGGAAAATCGATTCTTACTTCTAATTTTGTCCATTCGAAATGATTGTATCTGTGTGTGTGTCTATGTATGTATGTCCATATGTATGTACATAATAGAGATGCTCATCCATTGTGTCATGAGAAGGTGTTATTTTCTACTGTCTATTAAGTTATGTGCATAAATGTATTAACCTTTTCTACTATTAGTGGACAGGTTTCCGGGGACAGATGGTCATGGACATGTAAATGCGCACTAAAGTGGAAAAAAATTATCTTCCATGGCAGAGTCTACTGCTTTGACGATAGTGGTTGCTATTGATCTAGGTTCTAGGTATGGCAGCATGGATACATTGGTATGGATGCAGTGGCATGAATTTAGCGGTGTGGATGCAGCGGTATGCAAGTGTGGATGAAGCGATGTGGATACAACTATGTGGATGGCGTGGATACAAAACCTAGATGAAATTTTCCACCACCACACCTCAACGCTGCAACAGAGCCTCTTCACTGCAGTCGTTTCCTGAACAATAACAAAATCTCCGAAACTAAGCATAATTTGTCATTGCAAACCACCTCTTAGATAAGAAATACCGATTTGATTACTGACTTTCATAGAACTAGATCTACAAAGTCAAACATCAAGAGACCATCATTGACAACCATGAACCCAACCTCGAATCCTCCATCTCGTTTTTTCTTCAAATCATCAATTCTCACTTTCACCAAATAATATTTGCTCTGAGATTAATACTTTAAATCCAAATGAGTCGATTTCAGAAACACGGTTAAAATAGTGTATTATTCAAGGTATATAACTCGAAACTGCTAATTCAAAAAAACACTACACTAACACAAATAAAATAAAAAGAAATCCAAATTAATTGAAACAATAATCAGTTGTAGTCATATGTTTGAAAAGATATATTTTTTTATTTAAATAAAAATGTATTAAATTAAATAAAGAGAAAAGTTATAGTTGTTGAGTTTCAATTATATGTCAAATTTACTTAAAACAAAAACAATGTTAATAATATTTTGAAAGTTAGTGAATAACAATAAATTTATATATAAATGTTAAGTTTTATATTATCAGTTAATTTTCACATATCACAAGTTTTTAATTTTTTAAAACTAAATCATAGCATATTTTTAGAATATGTTACATCAATATGATATTGAAAATCAAATATTATATATTAAATATTAAATTAAAATTAAAATAATTTAACTTATTTTAAATAAATTATTAAAAAAAACTCGGATATCATTTGATTCGTAATAATGTTTCAGTTAAGTCTAGTATATCATCTTGGGATGGTCATTTGATTCGTGAATCTCGAATTATAATTCAATAATCATTCATGTAGGAAATCAAGAGAGTATTTATATAACTTATACACTTTCAACCACGTTCTTCCACATTGATTACAAATCTTGCTAACGATTCTCGTAACGTGGACTTCATTAAAGTAGTCCGACAGGCATAAAATAGGGAAACTTTGTGGCTGAGCAAACTAAACCTTTGACTTTTTCCTTTTCTATTTGTGATGAAAAATAGTCCCAAAAAAGTTACACTTTGGTATTATAATTACTGTAAATCTGTAATCAGTTCATTCAATATTTTTTTCACATTACTAAGTAATCCCTGTCAATAGTCAATACTAAATAGAATGTACACCTCCTCCACGTACACGTGATTGTTTCAACTTGCAAGCCAACATTATTAGACCAATAGTAGGAACTTACACTCAATACTCACGAACAGGTTCCGAAGCATCCGGTGTTCTACAACTTGGTAATGTACTTCTTGACAGTTATTACTGTTTTAAACCATCTTGGTTAATATGTGTTGTATACGAATTACAACTATTTTTTGGCACTACTTTCTCCGTCATATACTCCGTTTGAGTTTGACATGTGTCGCTGAACACTGCAAAAAAAAAAAACGATTAATTATATAAAAAATGAATATGCAAAATATTTAAAATATCAGTAAGAAACTAATTTTAAGAAAACCTAAAATAAAACAAAATTTACGTTATATTAAATTACAATAAATACGTTAACCACATGATTTTAGTTACAAAAACTAACTAATCGAAGCCACCTATAAATTAAATGAAAACCTAACTCTTCTCACCACCTAATCTTAGATCGACCTAACTAAATTAACTACATAATACATATATTAAAGAGCATAATATCAAAAGTGCTTGAGACTCTAAGCTATAATAATTTATGAATTTAATTGTTAGAAGTTTATCTATTAGATCGGGATTCAAACTTTATTTCTATTGGAATGGCATGACAAGTACAGTACATATACAACATCCTAAACTATTTGTAATGTTTGATGTAAATATGGAGATTTTGATAGATGATTCTATGATATAAGAATTTGGTACGTAAGATCATCCGATTTTGCATTAGCTTACTCCAAAGTCGTTTAATTAAATGTGTTAACTCTCGAAAACTATTTATTAAAAAAAAATATGGTCTGAATAATTATTCCAAAAAAAAAATTATGGTCTCGAAAACTTATAAGTTTAACATTTGATTCCAAAAAAGATCATCCAATATGTAAATCTCCCAAAACGTTAGAGTAAGCGTTGAGTATTGTCAGTTTTGGGGGTTTAAAGCAAGATATTCTGGTTTAGCGTTTTAACTTCTCGCTTTTTCATCTAATATTTGCAAGGAAAATCGGTTTTTTCATATCTTAACAGTAGGCGTAACTTCAGTTTATACCTCAACTCGGGAATTAGTCTATCACATCCCTTTTGTCAGCATATAAACAATCTAGTTCAATTCAAATTTCTTTATTAGGGCACTTTAGTAATATATGTATATATATATATATATATACCTCTTCTTTTTTTATAAACATCGTCATAGACGTAAAGAAGTAAAAACATATCCAAAGAGTGCAAGAAAGCTCCTCCAATGGCGAGTTTAAACTCTTCTTTCCCTCCTCTTTTCGAAAGGATCTCACACAAAAGCTATTTCTTAAGAGCTGTGGATCTCACAATTCTCGGCCTTCTCTTTTCTCTTCTCTTGTATCGAATCTTACATATGAGCCAAAACGACAACGTTTGGCTCGTTGCTTTGATCTGTGAATCTTTGTTCTCGTTCATGTGGCTGATTATAACCTGCATTAGATGGAGTCCTGCTGAAGATAAACCCTATCCAAATAGACTTAACGAAAGGTACTCTATTCATTTAAAATTTATAGATTAGTCTACCCGTATTTTAATGTTGATAAATAAGTTTTGGACTATAGAACATTATTTTAGTTTGAGCACAAAAAACCAAAAATATTTAATAAAATAATAAATTTAGATAAAAGTTTCAGGAAATTTTTTGATTTAAGACAAATATTTGGGAGTATTCAGTTAAAAAAATTAGAAATTTATGAGCTATATATCTTAATTTCTAGAAAGTGTGTGAGAATCATTTCATCGTGAAAGTTGGAAGTAACCGTAAATATATATAAAAGACTTACGTCAATCTATTTACTATCAATTGGTTTTGAGTTGTAATAAACTTAACAATAGAATAAATAATAGTATAGTTCTCGCTAGTAATTTTTTGTGTATAAATATAATATATATATATATATAATTATTAATTGAAGATAAGAGTCATATATGCATTATCTTTATACTATACAGGAGTACTGAATATATATTTTTCTATTCTTATCGCTATTTGATTCAAACAAAAAACATTTAACTGGTACATGTTTTTAGAACATTACAAAAATTATTTTATATATTTTGTTACTTGATCGAGTAATTATTTAAAGAGGGGGTATTTAGTGGAAAAAAAAACCCTTAACTAAAGATGAATAGAAAAAAAAATCCATCAATTATTGGGGGATTTGTTTTCACTAAAAACCTAAATAGGTTCTATTTGTACATAAAAACAAATTAATATTCTTATTAAATGAGTTTTTAGAACACTTTTTAGAATCAATTATCAAATTTATGATTCAATTATATGTCATTTTTTTTATTTTAACCCGTAAAACTAAACGAGGATCCGCCTCAAGGTTTTATTTATCAAGAAACAGTATTCATTTCTACGCTATCTTTCTACTTCTTTTAGCTGGCCAACAAAATTTTAATTTCAGGGGTCATGACCTTCCTTCAGTACTTTCGCTGTTAGCTTTGAATTATCCGGCGGGTAAACTAGCATGTTATGTGTCGGACGATGGATGTTCACCTCTCACTTACTTTTCTCTAAAGGAAGCTTCTAAGTTTGCCAAGATTTGGATTCCTTTCTGCAAAAAATATGGCGTTGGAGTTAGAGCTCCTTTTAGATATTTTTTAAACCCTTTGGTCGCAGCAGAAGATTCAGAATTCAGTAAAGACTGGGAAATGATAAAGGTAATGAATTGATTGTTTAGGTCATACGGTTTTGTACATTTTTTTATTTCCCAGTTTCAATGAAATAAATTTTGGGTTTTCATTATCATACATTGGTTTCTCTAAATTTACAAGTTCAGACAAATATGTGAAGTAACTATTTTTTATTTTTAACGCCGTAAATGACGTTTTTTCATAAAAGTTTATATTATTTTTCTTTCGTATATTTTTATAAAGAGGGAGTATGAGACTTTAAGCCGGAAAGTAAACGATGCCACCGGCGATTCCCATTGGTTGGATGCAGACGATGCTTTCTCAAACACAAAACCAAATGATCATTCAACAATAGTTAAGGTAGTATTTATATAAATGGAAAAACAATTATAGTTATGGTATTTCTATAACTTTCCAATAGCAATGCACATATTATAAGGTTTAGTTATTATTTAACAAACAAGGATTTAGCTCTAAGAATACGTAACCTTGTTTTATGTGTGTATGTGAAGGTGGTATGGGAGAACAAGGGAGGTGTGGGAGACGAGAAAGAAGTCCCTCATCTTGTATACATATCAAGAGAGAAAAGACCAAACTACCTTCATCATTACAAATCTGGAGCATGAATTTTCTGGTTAATGATTTTTCTCACACATCTTTTTTTTAGAGGTTTCAAAGTAAGGGCATATACGCTGTGTCCGGCCTGTCACGAAATGTTAGTTGGGATAGAGATTAGGTTTCATCAAGCATACATTTGATGACTTAGATTCGCCAATCTCTGATTAGTATCATCTAGTTGCGTTAAAATATGATAATACAAAAGAATTGATGTGTTTGGACATATATATAGATTGTTTATGCAGTAGTAGCGTAAGATATCCCATGTCGTATAGATGCATTGAGTTTTTGATATTTTTGATATACATTAATTGTTGAAGTGAAAGGGTAACTATATATGCATATATAGATCTATGTGTTAATTAAGGATGCATGAAAAACTAAACTATTATGATTACTGATATTTTATAATGTGATATCCTATGATCAAAACTATGAGTGGGTGATCCCGTTTCTATGAAGCCACAGTAGGAACATTTTAACAGTCAAATTTAAATTGAAATACATATTTTTGGCTTTAAAATTTGAAGTACAATCAACGCTTTTTAGATTATTTTTTTTTATGATAATGAAAATATGACGAGTCTAAGATGAATTTGAACAGTTAAGAGTGTCGGGATTGATGACGAATGCACCATACATGTTGCACGTAGATTGCGACATGTATGCCAATGAAGCAGATGTGGTGCGACAAGCGATGTGTGTATTTTTACAAAAATCAAACATTTCAAACCATTGTGCTTTTGTTCAGTTCCCTCAAGATTTCTACGATTCGAACACCAACGAATTCTCCGTCTTACAATCAGTGCGATTTTCTCATTTTTAATTTTAATTTATAATTTTGATCCATTTAGTGTTAACCTTTATCGACTAGTAGTATTTCATCTTTTTTAATCTTAGTATATGGGACGAGGAGTTGCGGGAATCCAAGGAACGATATATTGTGGCTCAGGATGCTTCCACACTAGAAGAGTTATGTACGGTTTATCTCCGGGCGATTTAGACGACAACGGAAATCTTTCGTCGGTTGCTACAAGTAAGTATTACAAATTCATAAGAGATTTTTCACACATATATAGCAACAATTAACCCGATTTACTTTTATATATCAAAGAGGACTTTTATTATTTTATTTCTAGTTTGTTAAACTCTATTCTTTTCACTACTCGACCATTCAATGTATGGGTTCTCTTATTCATCCAACAGACAATTCATGATAATTGTGTTATTTTAATGTTCTACTATATTTATCCAGTTATTTCATTACTCGTATATGAAAATCATTCATGGCTACTATTGTTATTTTTATTAAGGGGAGTTTTTGGATGAAGATAGTTTAGCAAGAAAATATGGGAATTCTAGAGAAATGGTGAAATCGATGGTGGAGGCATTACAAAGAAAATCAAATCCTCAAAATACACTTGCAAATTCCATAGAAGCGGCTCACGAAGTGGGGAATTGTCACTACGAGTACCAATCCAGTTGGGGCAAAACCGTAAATCTCCTTCTCAATTTAATCATTATATTTCAATAATGTGTTATAGTTGTTTTTTTTTTGTCAAGCGTGTTATAGTTGTTTTCAAGAATTAAAAATAATATATAACTAGTTGTTTCAAGAATATTTGAACATTTTCTCATTATAATGTAGTTTTTAAATAAAAATCTTGCAGCTAGGTTGTTTACACGATTCAGTCGCGGAAGATATCAACACGAGTATTGGAATCCATTTTAGAGGATGGACTAGCTCATACATTTGTCCTGATCCACCTGCATTTCTTGGATCTGCACCATCGATAGGATTGGAGACGATAGTCCAGCAGCCGCGATGGGGCACGGGAATTATCGAAGTCCTTTTCAACAAGCAAAGCCTCTTGGGAGAAATGTTTTGCCAGAAAATAAAATTCCGAGTAGGTTATCTATCGGTTCTCATGTGTCTAAGATCAATCCTTGAACTCTTTTATTGCCTCTTGCCTGCTTATTGTCTACTCCACAACACTGCCGTATTTCTTAATATATCATGGTTTTGATGGTTTTTAACCATGATATAAATCCTTTTTTATTGAGTTTTTTTGGTCTTTTTAGAGTCTTAGTAGAGTCTTTGCAGGTTATAGCATGTCTGGAGCATAATTGGAGATATTAGAACCTTTTGGAGCATTCTAAGTTGAAGCCACGAAGTACCTAGCTCGAAGAAGAAAGTATGCCATATGGTGACGCTCGTCACCAAGCTGGTGATGCTCGTCACCCAGAAAGGAAGGGGTCGTGGCTGTTTTCTAAAAGATAGAGGATTATTTGCAGTTTTGGCCCAGAAGTTCCAGTATTTGCAAAAAGGCTCCAGATCGTGTTTTAGCTTGTATATTAGGTTTTTCAGCCATTCTTCAGATGAGAGATCTTGTATCTTATTATTTTAGAGAGCTTGAGAGAGAGATTTGTAGAAGAGCTTTTGGAAAGATAAATCAGACTCTTTCAGAGCAGATTTCAAACTCTTTCATCTTTACTTCTTATTTCTTTTATGCAATCTATTCTCTTCATGATGTTTTCTCAAATCACCATGTATGAGTAGTTTGTTAATTAAGTTAAGGCTTTTCAAGGATTGATGAAGAGTTTGTAGAATTGCTACCAGTTAGGAATATCTTTTGGTTTTTCATCTCTGCTTGCTTTAAAATCGAATTTCTGAGACACATCATCTAGAAATCCGAAAATCATAGGATGTTAAATATATGTGAGAGCATTATTCATAACCTGAACTAGTATTTGATGAGCAAAACAACTTAGTGCAAAGAGATTTGTCTTAGAAGTTTTGTAAACAATTGAATCTGATCATTCCTGCATGCTTAGGTTGTTAGGGTTTGCAAAGAGATTTGAAACTCTGTGATTTAGGAATAGATAACTTCTGCAATGAGAATTGATTAGTTATACATCAGTGATTCATGTTTAAAACGGTTCTTAATCATTCCTTATTTCATGCATTCTACATTCTTGGATTCAACCTGCGAACTGTCCTGACTTAGCGCTTTTAGTCTTCTGAAACTTAGATAATCTTACAAAAATCGTTTGCTTACTTTGATTTACTCATTCGCATTACATACATTACATTCTGCTTAGCTTAATCTGAATCTACATTCGATAGTGTAGTCTGCATTACTCCTTTGGGATTCGATACCCCTTGTACTACAACTGCTTTGATGTGCACTTGTAGTAGTTTTATTTGGGTAAAACCTGACTCTATCAAGTTTTTGGCGCCGTTGCCGGGGAGTAATAGCTGCCTACCGATTTCTAGTATTAGGATTTTGTCTAAGTTTTAATTTGTTTACTGACTTTTAGTTTCTTTTCTTTGTGCTGGTTTCAGGTGTATGCCTAATCGCAGTACCATAAGCAACAAAGAGAAGGATCTTGTGACTTTGAGCATTGACGAACTTGCTAGGTTGGAGAGAACTAACAGGAAAGCTAAGAAGCAATCTACAATGGTCGCTCCACTTATCTTGGTTGAAGATGCAGAAGGTCACTTGGTTGACAGGGAAGGAAACAGGAGGAACGAAGAAGGGCAGAGGATTGATCAAGAGGGGAATGTCATTGTTGAACAGCAGGTTCAACAGGTGAATGAGAACGTGGGAGTCCCTGCTGCTGCCAATAACGCTGTTGAGCGTTTTATTCAGAGGACTCTAGGTGACTACAACAGACCAGATCAGTTCTATGCCAATAGAGCTGCAATCCGACCTCCTGCCTTCCAAAGGAACGATTTTGAGGTTAAACCTGTCTACTATCAGCTAGTTGGCCAGCATCCATTCCATGGCTTACCTCATGAGCATCCTATGGATCACATTGAGAGATTTGAGGACTTGGCTTTAAGTGTCAAAGCTAATGGTGTTAGCAATGACTTTCTGTTCTGCAAGCTTTTCCCTTACTCTCTTGGAGGAGAGGCTGCATATTGGCTGAAGCAAATGGAACCTGCTTCACTGACCACTTGGAAAGACACTAAGAACGCATTTCTGAATAACTTCTATGATGATGCAAGGTCAGAAGACATGAGGACGAAAATTGCATCTTTTACACAAGGTCCTACTGAAGCTTTTAAGGCTTCTTGGATTAGGTTTAAGTCTTATCAAAGGGACTGTCCTCATCATGGTTTCAATCAGGTGCAACTGCTTGGGATCTTCTTTAGAGGCATTGACTGGAAATATCAGATGGCACTGGATGCTTCAAGTAGTGGAAACTTCAACACCAACAGACCAGAAGAAGCTGTAAGATTGATTGAAAACTTGGCCTGCAGTAACAACACTAAGAATGCAGATTTTCAGAGAAAGCAGCAGGCTGGTTTGAATGATGGAAACCAAATAGCTGAAGTTAAGGCTAAGTTGGAAAGCATGCACAGCCTTTTGGTGGGGAAGAAGCCAGTACAATTCGCTGCAGAAGTGGAGAGTTTCGAAAATCCTAAAGACATTAAGCAGAAAGATGTTAACTTCATCAATGAAGATTTTCAGAACCAAAGGTTTGGGAATCAACAGTGGAACAGAGGATTTAATGGAAAGAATCAGAAGAATACATTCCCAGGAAACCAGAATGCTTTTGGTTATACTCCAATGCCACAGTTCCAGAAGACTGAAGTTGAGAAACCATACCAAAACAGCAGGAATTTTGGTTCTTCTTCCTACCAAACTGCACTTCCACAAGACAATAAAATGGAAGCTATGCTGGAGCAGGTACTTGAAGGACAGCAGAAGATGACAGTGAACTTCAATGGCAAGCTAGATTCGCTGTATCAAGACCTGAATGGAAAAATTGAGAGTCTGAACTCTCATATGAAGAAGCTTGATGTGCAGGTTGCTCAAACTGTAGGAGCTGTTCAAAGGCAAGAGAGATTCCTTCCTGGAAGGACTGATATCAATCCCAAGCATCAGGTTAATGCCATCACAGTCAGGAGTGAAAAAGAGCTTAAAACAGCGCAGAAAAAAAGGTTGAGTGCAGAACAGATCGTGCAACTAATAGAGTCTGAAGATGAAAATTTTACAGTCTCAGAGGTGAGTGACGAGCGTCACCAAGGAGGAGTGACGCTCGTCACCAACTTACAAGGATATCGGGGGTTGTCACAAGTGAGTGACGAGCGTCACCCCCCTGGTGACGATCGTCACCCACCCCAGAATGAAGCTGCTTCGCCTGTAACTGCAAACAATGGCCATAAGCAAGCGTATAAACCCAAGATACCATTCCCTAAGCATCCTAGGAAGTCTAAACAGGAGATAGAAGAAGCCAGATGCAAAGCTATGATAGACAAGGTGATGCTTGAGATCCCACTTGTTGATGCAGTAAAGCTTTCACCAGCTCTAAAAAGGTATGTAAAGAGAATGGTTGTGAATGGTGTAAGTCCTGAGGAAGGAGCATTGCTTACTAGAGACATCAGTGCAATCCTCTTGAGTACAGTTCCAAGGAAGAAGAAGAAGATGACTGTTTCTGAACAAGTCAATACCATCACTTAAAGTAGAGTTCCAGAGAAGCTATCTGATCCAGGGACCTTTGTGCTTGATTGCTCAATATCTGCAGGACGTTTTCTACACTCTCTATGTGATCTAGGGTCAAGTATTAACTTGATGCCTTTCTCTGTTGCTGCTAGACTTGGAATGACTGATTTCAAGCCAGCTGGGATCTCTCTCATCCTAGCAGATCGATCCATCAGGACCCTAGAAAGCATGTTAGAGAATGTTCATGTTAACATTGAAGGCTGCATAATTCCTACAGATTTTGTGGTTCTGAAATATGCTGAAGAACCTAAAGATCCTTTTATTCTGGGAAGACCATTCTTGGCTACTGCTGGCGCCATCATTGATGTGAGAAAGGGGAACATTGAGCTTGATCTTGGTGATGTTGTCATGAAATTTGACATGGATAAGTTAAGAGGAAGTTCTACCATTGATGGTCAGACCCTTTCTGTAAGAACTTCCAGAGATGAAGAGACTGTCATGGAGCATTCAAAAGACACTACTGCTGGGTATGTCACTGAATCTGCTACAAGTGATCAAGTGAACAAGATGGCTGGTGAAGAGGCAATGTCTGAAGTTTCTGCAAAAGCTGTTGGGTTTGAGGATTGGAGTAAGGATGATATCTTCAGGAATAGGCTTGAAGAAGATGTTCTAATGGATGCCAAGTTGCTGGAGGAAGACGTGTTTGTGATGGAGGCAAGACTTGCAGAGCTGAATTGCAGGAAAACTGCAGCAACTCGAACTGCAGAGTCAGTGACGAGCGTCACTGACCTGGTGACGCTCGTCACCAACCTGAACACAAAGCAGCAACGTGATTTTATAGCTACAAGTCCATCATATGTTGCCAATCCGAAAATTCACCATTCCACAACCCAGAAACCTGCAACTAGGCAAAGGTATGCACTTTCTGGAACCAAATCTAAACCTCCTAATCTCATCAATAAGAACTTAAAAGGTACAAAAGATGCTTCACACTTATGCAAGCAACGAGATTCTCGTGGAAAGCTTGGTGTTTCTTTTGATGATTTTGCAAGAAAAAGAAGTATCCCACCCACAGTCACGACCCACCCTGCTGAGGTTCCTCGCTTCCTTGGAAGAGTTCATGCATCTACTTCCTATAAACCACTATGGATGTGGAGACATTCTTCTCCAAGGCATTCAATGCCACCTTCTGTTCCACCAGCTGTTTGAGCAGCATTCAAAGTCGAGCTAATGACTTTAAACAAACGCTTAGTGGGAGGCAACCCACTGGTAAGTTTTATTTTTTATATACTTAGTCTAGTTTTCTATTACATAGCTAAAAAAAAAACCCAAAAACATGAGAAAAATCAAAAAAAAAAGAGTCAGTTTGTTCAGTTTGCTTGGATGATGTCTTGTGAACTTGTTGGACCATGGATTATGCTTTGTTTGGATCTTTTGATGTGTGTTTTGAGTGCTCTTACAGTTTGACTTCGGAGTACACATGATGGCATAGCATTTA